TAATTCGATTTTCTCTTCTGTGATGAACAAAAAACAGTTAAAGGCTTTGAGAGCTGTGAGAAAGACTTTGAAGATTATTTGACTCAAACGTTCCTAAGCTGTGTGTAACTCACCTCTCCAGGCTTTCAAGTCCCTCGATTTATAATTGGGAATAAAACTATTTACCTCTTAGGGATGTGGTGAGAGTTATATGAGGGGACAAGTAAAAGGCTCAGAGCCCTTATAAGAAATAGACTTGGTATGTCACAGTAGATGTTTGATGTATATATGTTTTAGAAACTCAACCCCAGCAAACGTACCCTGACTGCCCCCCACCCACAGCCTTCTATGTTACCTCCTACACTCATCAATGTGTTGTGTTGGTTTCCATTACTTCACTGCACTTCTAAGATGTGAAACCTAGTCAATTAGTTCATCCCTCCCCTATCCAATGTCTTGCACAGTGCCTAGGACCTAGTTGATGATGAATAAATATTTGTTAATTGTGTGAACTACGTATAGAGGCAATATTAGTAGTCTTCAACTCAGGTTACACATAGAATTGCCTGGAGATGACCTAGGATACACCCCAGAGATTCTAATTCAATGAATCAAGGGCAGTGTTTCTCAACCTTGGCTGTATATTAGGGTCACCAGGGGAAATGTAAAATTGCACATGCTCGGCCCTATCCCTGGCCAGTTACACCGTAACCTCTGGGGCTGACATCCAAGCACCAGTGTTTTTGAAAAGTTGCCCCAGGTGACTCCATTATGTAGCTAGGGTTAGGCACTGCTAGGCTAGATGGGGAAACAATTTAAGTACATCAAGAGTGGACTATTGGGCCAGGTACAGTGGCTCACATCTGTAATCCCAGCAGTTTGGGAGGCCGAGGTGGGCGGATCTCCTGAGGTCAGGAGTTCAAGACCAACCTGACCAATATGGTGAAGCCTTGTCTCTACTGAAAATACAAAAATTAGCTGGGCGTGGTGGCACGTACCTGCAATCCCAGCACTTTGGGAGGCCAAGGCGGGTGGATCATCTGAGGTCAGGAGTTCGAGACCTGCCTGACCAATATGGTGAAACCTTGTCTCTACCAAAAATACAAAAATTAGCCATGTATGGTAGTGCGAGCCTGTAGTCCCAGCTACTTGGGAGGCTGAGGCAGGAGAATCGCTTGAACCCAGGAAGTGGAGGTTGCAGTGAGCCTAGATTGCGCTACTGCACTCCAGCCTGGGTGACAGAGCGAGACTCCATCTCAAAAAAATAAACACATAAATAAATAGCCGTTAAAAAAAAAAGACAGAGAGTGGACTATTAATGTGTTCTTAGGTAAAACAAATATGAAATTAAGAAGAGAGTGAGTCACTTTTTGTGTTTGTCTAGTAAAATCCAACTTCCTTCCTTTGCAACTCTATTGATTAATTTAATTGCTGAGTGTACAGGGTTGTTCTGTTTCAGGTTCACTTTTCTACCTTTTTGGCTAGCTGCTATTGCTGCAGGGTGGCTGTGCTGGATTGACTAGTGCCCGCCAAAAATGTATGTCTATCTGGAAACTGTGAATATGATCTTATTTGGGAATAGGGTGTTTGCAGACACAATGGAGTTAAGGCAAGGTCATTCTTGATTAGGATGGGCCCTAATCCAATGGCTGGTGCCCTTATCAGGAGAGGGAAATGTGAACATACACGCAAGGGAAAATTCCATGTGAAGACAGAGTCAGGGATTAGAGTGATATGTCTATAAGCCAAGGAATGTCAAGGATTCCGGCAACTTTAAGAAATGGAGAGAGAGGCATTGAACAGATTTTCCCTCAGACCCTCCAGGAGAAACTAACTTTGGTGACATCTTGAGGCATTTCTTGCCGCCATCGCTGTGAGAGAACACATTTCTGTTGCTTTAAGCCACCTAGTCTGTGTAATGCATCATGGCAGCCTGAATAAAACACCATGACTTAATGGGTAGCCATGATCTCTATAGCATCTAGGTATCGCGTTCGTTAAGAAGATTAAAATCGTATTTCTGAAATCATTCCTTTATTTTGCACACACATGGCTGCTATTTACTGAACTTCCTCTAACTCCAAGTCCATGTTGCCATGCAATGAAATGTGACAAATTCATGTCTTGCTCAGAAGGCTAAACTGGAAATTCATGAATGCTTACAGATTTAAACTTTCATAGCAGGCTCAGATCAACAAAGCAAAACTTCTACAGATAAAAAGTAGATGTGTAAGCTTGCCACTCTTGGGCCCGTCGGCACCTGTTCCCTATCATATTGCTGAACTCTGTGAACTCCAGAAAGGAAGCTTTCTTTTCCAAACTTCAGAGAAGCTGCAGATCAAGAATTTGGCCAGTTGCATCCGGTTAGAAACTCCCTTCTTCCTGTGTGAGAACGTTGGACTGAAAGCGGCATAATACAAAAAGAGATGGTTCTCTGTCAGGGAGAGGTCAGCTCTGAAAGAAAAAAAAAAAAAAAAAGGAAGGGATGAAAAATTCTTTATTAGTTGTTATGGGCTGAATTGTGGAACTGTGTTCCTCCCCAAACCTAAAAACCGTAGACTTAAGTTCTAACCTCCAGTACCCCAGGCAGTGTTTGTACTTAAAGATAGGGGCCATTAAGGAAGTGGTTAAGGTTAAAGGGGGTTGTTAGGGTGGGACTTCATCCAGTATGAATGGTGTCCTAACAAAAAGAGATGAGGACACAGATCCACACAGAGGAATGACAGTGAGAAGGCTGCCATCTATGACTCAAGGAGAGTCCTCAGAAGACACCAATCCTGCTGACACTTGATCTCGGACTTTCAGTCTCCAGAATTGTGAGAAAATATGTTTCTGCTGTTTAAACCACCCAGTCTGTGGTATTTTGCTATGGCAGCCCTAGCAAGCTAATACAGTAGTCCTACGCGGCTCATCTGCAGGATCAAGATATTGTTTTAAGCTTTAGCACCTGTATGCATCTGTATGTAAGCTGCACATCTGTCTGTATAAATATGCATAGATGGATGTCTAAATGGGTACTCTTCTAATGGTTAACATTGTTTATCTCTGTGTGGTGAGACTATGGATGAAGTTTTAAAATTCTTTGTATTTTTCTGTTGTGTTTGAATTTTTCAAATGATTTGTGTGTCTTATTTGTGGAAAGACCCAAAAAATCAACTTTTAAAAGAAAAAAAAAAAACAAAAAACAAGCACCTCCCCTCAATAGTAATTTTTTTGTTTTGGCTTAAGGGGACCATTTTCCCCTCTGGGACCGATCTGAAACATTAAACAGGCAGGAAATCTCCAGCCCACAGCAGCGGACACCAGAACAACTTTGGCGTGACCCAACATTTCTTGCTGCCCGGGCGCTATTAGAACAAGCCTTATTTGTTTTGTGGTATTAGTTATCAAAGTGCTGCTTATCAGGAAATCCGCTGTTTTCCTATTTTTCTGACATGGATAATATGAAAACCCTCAGAAACTCTCCTTTTAAACTCAAAGTGCACGAACGAGACTAGAATCCCATGTAAATGAACTCCTTGCTGATGTATACAACTAATGAAAGCTGCTGCATTTAAGGAGAAGGATCAGTAATAAGCTTTATTTCCACAAGAAAAAGTTTGGTCTTTTAAAAGCAATACTTGGAGTTGATTAAATCTGTTATTATTAATTCGATTTTCTCTTCTGTGATGAACAAAAAACAGTTAAAGGCTTTGAGAGCTGTGAGAAAGACTTTGAAGATTATTTGACTCAAACGTTCCTCGGTGCACACCACCCCCCACCCTAACTCCACCGCAGGAGAGGAAACAAGACGGGGTGTGGCGACACCTCCACCGTGACATAGCACCTCGGCCACAAACAGCTGTCGCAAAGGCTTGGTTCAGTAGGAAACATCACCTGACAGAATTCCAAAGGCCTAAGTTTAACAGTGGGGTGGCCCCATCACAAGGAGATTCTCAACCTTGGCTGCACATTCAAATCACTTGGGGGAGCGTTTTAAAAGTATCCATTCCTGCTCTGCTATGCTGGAGACATAGATGGAACCATCTGGCGAGGGGCCTGGGCACCAGCATTTTTAGAACTTCTTGTAGGTGATTCTTGTGCATCCCCAGGGTAAGTGCCACCCCTGATGAACCACCTCATCTACTCTGCTCTGCAACAGACAGCCTCAAACCCACCCCCAAACACATGCTGAGACTCTGATGTGGTCGCAGTAGCTGTGAAAGTGCTAAGTGCCGCTCACGTAGTCTCTGTATGTGAGTAAAGGAAAGGGTGTTACCTGTAGGCGTCTTTCACTTGTCACCCTTGGAAGAAGCTGATGAGAAAGGCACACAGGGCCTGGAAGGGTTTCCAACAGTGTTCCCAGGCCTTCTTCTTTGCTTCCGCGTTCCCTCCAGGCCTGGGTCCAGGCTCGGTAGCTTTGGCTGTGGGTAGGGTGGTGGGTTTGGCTTTTCCCAGCTCTTCCATCGAGTCCTTTCCCAGCTGTGTTGCTTCTGTGAGTTTCACTGTGGCCTTGGGCCTCAGAGATGGCGTCCCAGCCTCAGGCTGCTGGTTGGGCACTGGGCTGCCCTTGAGGCTGGAAGTCACCTGCTGCATGTGGGCCTGGGGCCCAGCCTTCCTGCACACGGATGGCCTCAGCACCGGGGCCCCCTGGCATGCATGGTGAAGGCGCCTCAGCTCCTGCAGGGCTTGGTTCCAGTAAGGTTTGGGGTCAGCAACGAAAGCCTGGCACACACTGGGCTGCCCCCTGTACTCACACCAGTATGTCTGCTCTGTGTTGTGGCAGTCGACGCGAAGCCAGACTTCTCCAGCATCTGGCCCCAAGCTGCTGGGGCGCATAGTGCAGGAATCTCTCCCTCCAGTCTGGAAATGGAATTCCTCCCCAGTGCTTCCTTGCTTTTGCCTCGGGGTCTGACCCAAAGTCCCCAGGCAGGACAAGGTCACCAGCAGGAGGCAGGGGATGAACTTCATGGCGATGCTCTAATCAACTTGCCTGCAACCCTGCACCAGGAGACAGAACCCAAGTGGGACGAGTCACCCTTTAAAGGGGGCTGCACAAAAGACTCTTTCTCTGCAAGGGTGGGGAAGGTGTTTCACAGCAAATGAGAAACATGCCCACAGACCTCAGACACTTGGCAAGGGCAGAGCAGCCACCAGGGGCCACCTACCACAAGCAAAGGGAATGGTTTTCCTGAGTGCATCAGAGAGATCTGCCCCGGCCCTGTCACACACAAAGCACTATACACAGCTTTGGGGTTGAGGGTTTTACAGTTTTCCAGCCACAGGGAGCTTGCTCTAAAATTGGCCCTTGTACGGGAACAGCCTTCTTTGTCAACATTCGGTGTATGCCAAGGTGTGGCAGTGGAATTCTGGAAAGAGAGGTTTGTAGCTGGGAGTCTGGGCTGCCTTGAGGCTCCCCCCTGCTCCTTGGAATCCCCATCTTGGGGGACCATGGGTTTAGATAATCCAAAGGATGCCAGAATTTTGTGAGCCGAGGTGTTGAGATGGCCTAGCAAATGCAAAAAAGACTATGTGAGGCCGTGTGAGGATGTGTGTGCTAGAGGGACACAGAGACACTCCCCCTCCCACCCACCGAGCTGAGAGTCACCTGGTGTGGCCTCTGTGGGGCTGTCCCACCATCACCGTGGCCACAGGTCACAGTGCTGCAATGCTCACTTCTCTTCTTTTTTTTTTGAGACGGAGTCTCGCTCTGTCGCCCAGGCTGGGAGTGCAGTGGCCGGATCTCAGCTCACTGCAAGCTCCGCCTCCCGGGTTCGCGCCATTCTCCTGCCTCAGCCTCCCGAGTAGCTGGGACTACAGGCGCCCGCCACCGAGCCCGGCTAGTTTTTTGTATTTTGTAGTAGAGGCGGGGTTTCACCGTGTCAGCCAGGATGGTCTCGATCTCCTGACCTCGTGATCCACCCGTCTCGGCCTCCCAAAGTGCTGGGATTACAGGCTTGAGCCACCGCGCCCGGCCTCACTTCTCTTCTTATTGCACGCCTGACAATTGCACCAACTGAATGACCAGGAAGGCATGCAAATATATGTTCACACTGGGATTCAGTCTATTTTAGACCATGAATTCTATTTCAAATTCAATTGAAATAACACAGTTTTCATTATATCCCAGAAAAATATGATTTTAAATATTATTATTATTGTTCTAAAAATAGAAAAAAAATAAATTGAAAATAACTTTTGGTTCTGTGTCAAGAATCATATTTTGGTATGGTCATAACTGTCTTTTGATGACTTTCCAGAGGGCACTGTGGAGTGGACTAAAGGTGGCAATTTGCTGTTAGGGATAGGGTTGATGGACGTTGTGGGACTAGTTTGAATGTGAAGGATTTATCTTGGCCATCCCACGTGGGGTAGTTGGTACCTGGCACGGCCTTCCTTCCGCCTGGATAACCTGAGTCCTGAGAAGACCTAGTAGCGCTGGAACTAAAGTCGGACTGAGCTTTGGCAGCCACTGTGTGTGTAGCGGTGAGAGGCTCCCAGAAGAGTGCATCACCCCAGGTGGGGAGCAGAGGAAGCTTCCAAGTGGTGCCAAACCTTCAAGACAAGTCAGTCAACTTGCCAGGTTGAGAAAGGGTAAAGGGCAGTTGTTTTTTTTTTTAAGAGAGGGGGCCTCATTCTGTCACCTAGACCAGATTGCAGTGGTGTGATCATAACTGACTGGCTCATTGTAGCCTCCAACTCCTGGGCTCAATCACTCCTCCTGCCTCAGCCTCCCAAGTAACTGGGACTACAGGCTTGGGCTGCCACACCCAACACACTGGGCTGCCCCCTGTACTCACACCAGTAGGTTGATCTCAAACTCCTGGCCTCAAGCAATCCTTCTGTTTCTTTGTCCTCTGGAGTCACTGGAATTAGAGATGTGAACCACCACAATCGGCTAAAGGTAGGTTCTTTTTTTTTTTTTTTGAGACAGTCTTACTTTGTCACCCAGGCTGGAGTGCAGTAGTGCAATCTTGGCTCACTGCAACCTCCACCTCCCAGGTTCAAGCAATTCTCCTGCCTCAGTCACCTGAGTAGTTGGGATTACAGGCACCCACCACCATGCCAGGCTAATTTTTGTGTTTTTAGTAGAGATGAGGTTTCGCCATGTTGGCAAGGCTGGTCTCGAACTCCTGACTTCAAGTGATCAGCCCACTTTAGCCTCCCTAAGTGCTGAGATTAGAGGTACGAGCCACTGTGCCTGGCCAAGGGCAGGTTCTTAAGGCAGGGCAATGCTTCCTGTAAAGGAGTGCTCCTGGAATGCAGGTTTATGGACTGCTGAAATGCGAAGGGCAAGGAGGCAGTGGTGAGAATCAGGCTGGAGAGGTGACTCAGGGTGGGGTCCACAGCCTCTGTACCAATCCACAGGGTCGGTTCTGAGACAGAGCCTTGCCCTTCGTGTGCTTCCGATTCAGGAGCCCCTGGAGTAAACAGCACTCCAAGCCAGGCTCCATGTCGTGGCCAGAGGAAGGCAGGTGTTCAGCTCCAACCTCCTTTCTCCCACCCACCACAGTGTTGCAGGCAACAGCTTGCTAGACCCATCTAGCCGCCCTGAGGTTATGGCCAGCCCTTTTCAACGCCTTAGTGAGGCTGAGTTTACCCTTCAATGGGAACTTATCATGAGAGCTCTAATCACGCTCTTCCTCCTTCTGCTTTTGGGACAAACCAAGCCTCAAGACCTTTGCACTAGTCGTGCTCACTGCCTGAGTATCTTTTCCAGAACATTGCATGCCTAACTTCTCCCTGCCACCCTCAAGGAGGCCTTCCCTCGCTATACAATGTAAATGAGCTCTTCTGTTCCTCTATCACTGCTTTAATACTCTTGAAGGCAGTGATTTCTCTTTTTTTTTTTTTTTTTGAGACGGAGTTTTGCTCTGTCACCCAGGTTGGAGTGCAATGGTGTGATCTCAGCTCACTGCAACCTCCGCCTCCCAGGTTCAAGCAACTCTCCTGTCTCACCCTCCTGAGTAGCTGGGACTACAGGCACATGCCACCACACTCGGCTAATTTTTATATTTTTAGTAGAGACAAGGTTTCACCATATTGGTCAGGCTGGTCTTGAACTCCTGACCTCAGATGATCCACCCACCTTGGCCTCCCAAAGTGTTGGGATTACAGGCATAAGCCACCATTCCCAGCCCAATTTCTCTTGTTATTTGCTTGTTCATCTTTTAAACGTGGAGTGTCATGATCAGATTTGCACTGTAAGACTGCTGTGTTGAGAAAGGACTGGTGGACAGGGAGGCTGTGCACAGGGAGGGAAGTAGGCAAACTGGCTGTGTATGGGTTGAGTTGCTGTAACAAAAAGACCTTCTCTGTTATGAACCAGTCTTCCAGATTCATGCCTGGCAGTTCTTCAAATTTAACACATGGATTCCAAGGTTTGTTTGATTGCTGCCACTCCAGTGGAACAAGTCCAGGATCTGCAGTTTTGTCTTAGTAGACACTTCACTTACTCCTGGCCTAAGCCTAGTCACTCAGCCACATCTAGCTGCAAGGAAGGCTGGGAAATATAGTTCCCATGAGGTAGCCATATGTCTAGCCAAAACTCAGGGGGCTGGAAGCCTAAAAGAAAGAGGGGAAGGCCTCGTTAGTCAAGAGACATTATGAAAACTGTAACAGGATCATCAGTGGGGATGGAGAGGAAGGCTTGGTGACCAAGAGTGCATGGAAGGGAGGGGGAAAGCAGACTTAAGAGATTCCTCCGGCTCCAGTGAGAGGGTGAAGGTGGAGAAATTCAAGAAAGGGAACGTGGCGGGGAGAAGCTGTGGGGATGTGCAGGTCAGGACAGTGGTTTAAGGCAGGTGCTATAAACTGTGGCCCATGTGGCCTGCTTTTGCAATTTTTGGAGAACACAGCAATATCCATTCACTTACGTATTGCCTATGGCTACTTTTGCACTACAACACAGTCGAGGAGACACAGGCCACATGGCCCAGAAAGTGAAATATATTCACTGCCTGACCCTTTACAGAGAAAGGTTGCCAACCTCTGGTTCAAGGTGCATCTGGGTGGAGACATGTCATGAACAGTGGCCAGAGTTCTATGTGACAAGAGAACCAAAGGGAGCAGGTGAAGTGATGAGTGAATGAAATCACTCAAGGATACAGTGAGGGGCGGACCAGGAGAGAACCCGTGAATGCCACCTAAATTTAAGAACTGGAGAGATGAGTGTTGGAAGGAGACTGATGAATAGACAGCCATGCCCCAACAAGACACTGGAGAGGGCTCCTTTGGGAGCCTGAAGGGAGATCTTTTTAAAGGGGATGTGTTCACAAAAGTCAAGTCCTCAGAGACCCCGACAGGAGCCCTTCAGGAGTGGTGGGGACACAAGCCAGGTCACAGGAGCTGAAGAACCAGTGGAAATAAGAAAGTGGACATAGAGATGTGTAGATAATTCTTTCAAGGAAATTATTTCCGAAGAGAGAGGGAAAAAAGAAAACATGTTGTACTACCAGGCTGAGTGTGCAGTCGGGTTGAGGAAAGGCTGATTTTTTTTTTTCTTTTTTGAGACAGTCTCGCTTTCTCAGCAGGCTGAAGTGCAGTGGCACGATCTCAGCCCACTGCAACTTCCGCCTTCCAGGTTCAAGCGATTCTCCTGCCTCAGCCTCCCAAGTAGCTGGGACTACAGGCACGTGCCACCACTGCCAGCTAATTTTTGTATTTTTAGTAGAGATGGGGTTTCACCATGTTGGCCAGGATGGTCCCGATCTCCTGACCTCATGATCCACTGTCCTCAGCCTCCCAAAGTCTTGGGATTACAGGTGTGAACCACCGTGCCCGGCCAGGCTGATTTTTTTTTTAGCAAAGATAAGAACTTTAGGACCATATCCTTCCACTGTGTTTGGTGATTTGAGATACTGAAAAATAAATAAATAAAAGTTGCAAGAGTGACACTAGGAGTACTAAGTTGGCTTGAATAACTTAAACTATTTAAATGGGCGATAGAAAAATCAGGTTTTCAAAAAATGGGAAGTTAGGAGATAATTTCCTCTGGAAGAATTATACACTACATAGTCTTGATTAAATTGCAAGCCTCTTGTGTGTTGTTTTAAAGAAATTCATTTTTACTTGTGTATGTTTAGGAGTACATCAGGCAAAGCAGAGTTTGCCTATAGTTGGTATCCAATTGTGTGTATTGTGACCTGGACAGTTCCCTAAGAAATGATGACTTTAGATCTGAAGATCTAAAAAAAAAAGCCCACTTTGACCTTGACCTTGAATTATTTCTGTATAATGGGCCTTTAATAAGTAATGGAATAAATTCACAAATAATATATGCCCAAATTTCATCATCTAACTTGTGAGTCGCTGGATCTACTCAAGGAAGCAACATACAGACCATGTTTTCCAAGTTCCTTTTTATTGAAACGAATCAGAACTGCAATCTGCACATGAAAAGACCTGGGGGAAAGCCTACATCTGGAATTTCATTATGTCAATGTTAAATTTTGTCCGACCAGTTTTTCATTGCTCATCACTTTTGATAATGACAGATCCAACATGAAAATCCTAAAGCAAATGGATATTTACCTTGTGCTTTCATGTAAATTTAGGGACCAAACTCAAAGGTTTCATCCATGCTGGACACCAAATCTAAGAATTGTGACAGGATCTTCTCATATTTCATTTTAGAACCCTTGATACTAGTCTGATGATATTCATGTTAGCTGCACTCCAATTCATGTTTATTCTAATGCAACAGAAAACTCTGTTAAACTGTACACTGTAATTGGCATCTGTTAAAACAACTCCACTTTTGAACGAACAGCACTTCTTTCTCTCAAGATCTCTCTCTCTCTTTTGAATTTGCAGATGGAGTTACGCAGGTTTCTCTAGGATTGCTTTTGCATGCCATTTCCAAATGGAACATGACCAATCTTTGATAAAGTATAATAGATAAAAATCTTTGTGCGAAGGATATGCTGTAGGTTTCACACACTTTTAGTGAAAATGGATTATTTTCAACAGCACCAAGAAGTCAATGGTGACTTATTCAGCTCACTTAGAAGAAAGTCCTATAATACTCATTTGTTTAAAAAACTCTGTGGTAACAAAAGGTATATACACCATTTACTGTACACAAAATGCATCTTTCCTGTAAACTGGTGTGTGTTTAGCACACTCCACACATGGCAATATGTTAGAACCTAGCCATCACATTTGATAAGAGTTTTGACAGAAATGCATCCAATGGGAACAAACACCCCATATGTTGTAGTGTCTAAATAGAAACTCAGTGTAAAAAAGTAAAAAACAAAAATAGACAGGGAGGGAGTCATCCTTGAATAGTGATGGACCATGGACTATAAACATGATTGTGTTCATTCTTAAAGCACTACCCAGAGACTAATGGCGCCGTTTCCTTGGTGCCCGCCTGAGTCACTACGTTGCCACTGGCGTTCCTCCTGGATTTGGAAAGTCCTTGTAGACCCAGAAACTACCAAAAATCTGTGATCCTTTCCACTTTGAGTATCCTGATGCTGAAATGAAAGTTAAACACAATTTTAGAAATTGCTTTTGAATTAATAAAGAGAAAACCAAGAATGCATAATCCTAAAATGGTACCCACCAGGAGCCTAAGAACTAAGGAAAATATAAACTCGTTCAAGAGGCACAACAATAAGTTTGTTGCAAAACAATTTGTTAAAATATAGCAATATAGAAAAAAACTTTGTGGTTTTTGTTTATTTATTTATTTTATTACTATTATTATTATTATTATTATTATTTGAGAGGGAGTCTCACTCTGTCACCTAGGCTGGAGTGCAATGGTGCAATCTTGGCTCATTGCAACCTCCGCCTCCCAGGTTCAAGTGATTCTCCTGCCTCAGCCTCCCAAGTAGCTGGGATTACAGGCGCCCACCACCACACCTAGCTACTTTTGTATTTTTAGTAGAGATAGGGTTTCGTCATGTTGGCCAGGCTGGTCTCGAACTCCTAATCCCAAGTGATCTGCCCACCTCAGCTTCTCAAAGTGCTGGGATTACAGGCATGAGCCACCACGCCCAGCCAGAAAAAAATTTTAAGTCTATAATACTCAAGGTATGTGGTTGGTACACAGATTTCTAGATTTTTGTTTGTTCGTTTGTTTTTTTAGAGATAGGGTCTCACTACATTTTCCAAATTGGAGTGCATGAGTGTGTTGGCTCTTCACAGGTATAATCATGGTTCACTGCATCTTTGAACTCCTGGGCTCAAGCAATCCTTCTACCACCACCTCCCACCCCAGTAGCTGGGACTACAGTCAGGCACCACCATGCCTGGTTTATTTTTTACTCTAAAAAAACTTTTTTTTTTTTTTTTTGAGATGGAGTCTCACTCTGTTGCCCAGGCTGGAGTGCAGTGGTGCGATCTCAGCTCACTGCATCCTCTGCCTCCCAGGTTCAAGCAATTCTCCTGCCTCAGCCTTCTGAGTAGCTGAGATTACAGGCGGGATTACAGGGGCCTGCCACCACACCCGGCTAACTTTTTAAAGTAGAAACAGGGTTTCACCATGTTGGCCAGACTGGTTTCCAACTCCTGACCTCAAGCGATCTACCCGCCTCGGCCTCCCATAGTGCTGGGATTACAGGTGTGAGCCACCGCGCCAGCCCTTATTTTTTTACTTAAAAAAAAAAACTTATTTTTTAAAATATACACACATACTTACTGTGTGTGTGTGTGTGTATATACATATATAAATACACACACATTTATATAGCAATGTATGTATATACAGAGAAGGTCATTGTATCGTATCTATATACCCAGTCATCCCTCAGGATCCATGTGGGATTGGTTCCAGGACCCCTACACACATCCTCCAACATACTGTGTATCATCTCTAGATTACTCATAATACCTAATACAATGTAAGTGTTATGTAAGTAGTTGTTATACTGTATTGTTTTTATTATTTTTATACTGTTATTTAAAAAACTTTTTTTACAGTATTTTTAATCCACAGCTTGAATCCGTGGATGTGGAACCTGCAGGTACAGAGGGTGGACTGGATATATAAAATCATCATGTGTAATATACTGACCTAGATTTTCCACTTAATGTATTAGAAATAGCTATGTTTTGATGTTCTAAAAACTAAAAACTATAGTCCTATAGATTCTCTTCAACGAAAGCATCAAACTTACCTCAAGCAATTTCAACATCAGCTATCAATGTGATGGGCTAAAAAACAAAAAAATAAAGAAATATAAAACCCCCAGGAAAGCTGTGGGTGGTTTCATCACCTCTGTGCTAAGAAGCAGGCCTTTTACTAAAGGTACAGACGAATATAAACCACACCTCATAAAGTTTATCAAGAAGAATGTGTCCGACAAAACATTGGTTACTCTAGCTTCTGTTTGCATCGCTTTTAAAAAGAGACTAGAAGATAAAAAGGATAAACAGACTATGATAGTTTATCATATAAATGATATGTGAATATCATATAAATGAATATTCACAATCTAAGGTTAAAAGTGTTAAGAGTCACTAAGAATACATGTTGAAGACATTAGACCAGCAGCAACACCACAGTACACACCAGTCTACCACAGGAGTCTTTCTAAAGTCTGCTTCTAGGAGAGAAGACAGAAGCAAATGGAAGTTCCGCAGGGACCTTATTACAACTACAAATTCCTGGGTGTAAGATCAGGTATGCATATGGCCTCTAAGTGGCTCTCTGGGTGAACCATCAACAGTAGCCCTAGTGTCCTCTAAAGTGACTCCGGGATAATGGCCTTGACAATCAAAAGGTATACGCCAGGGGGAGACTAGTGAACTCCATCTGGAAGGTCTGCAGTTTCAACTTGGGCACCACCCTCCCCAACTGTGACTTTGGGTGGATCACAACCCCCCTGAACCTGCAGGATCCACCTTGCCTCACTCCAGTGCTGCATCAGACACATGAGGTTGGGGGAGGATGTGCACAGAGGACATCAGGGCACCTGCCAGGCAAGATATTCCTTCTAAAGTGTTTCACTTGAGAAAGTGCACATGCTTGGTTCTGTGTGCCTCTTCCTGCACTACTCTTTATGCTTTCGGTAAAGAAACAAACTCTTTATTGAAAGGGCTCAAAGGGCCCCTGGAAAAGGGTGCAAGCAGGGGCTGGTTCAATCTCTTGTTACTGTCCATCTCACCAGGACCTGGAGCTGAACATTATGAAGGACTGTAGGCTCTGGCGATCATTTCTAAAGAATATCTACATTTGCCTTACTGAGCAGAGGGATACTGCGCACACTAACAGGATCACTGGTTCTTCTCCTCTTGCCTAGCAGTGCCTCTCCTCCAGACAGTATATCCATCCTATCCTGGAAGAGATGGAACTCTGGAGACCTCAGAAGCAGGAAATGAGCGAAACAAACCAATTTAGGCAGCAGTCTGTTTTCTGCTGCTATAACAGAATATCAGAGACTAGGTAACTTACAAAGAAAAAAAAATAATGTTTTTTATAGTTCTGAAGGCCATGAAGTCCAAGAGCTTGGTGCTGGCATCTGGTGAGGGCTTTCATGCTGCATCATCCCATGGTGGAAGGGCAAATGAGTACAAGAGACAGACAGGGAATGGGGTCGAGCTTCCTCCTTTTATCAGGAGCCCACTCCCATGATAATGGCATTAATCCATTTATGAAGGCAGAGCTCTCATGACCTATCCACCTGTCCAAGGTCTCGCCTATTAATATAGTCACAACAGCAATTAAATCTCAACATGAGTTTTGGAGGGGACAATGAAACTATAGCAAGTAACTAAAACTAATCCTGGAAGATCCTGATGTAAGAGAAACAAAGGGCCTTAGATGAGACCATAACTGGAGATACTTTTCTTCAGGCCATTAGGATTTGGGCTCTGAATGATAACTTCCTGGGTGCCCAACACAAAAAAGTAATAAAATAAAGAAGGCCAGTGCATGACATCTGAGACTCTCCTGTCCCCAGAGTGGACATCACACACTGATGACAGCACTTTTGAGTCAGTCTGGATTAAACCTCCAGATTTCAATCAACACAGGGCTCTGGGCAACCTGATCAACAGAGAGAAGTTGGCCCAGGAGGTGGAATCTGTTTGTCACTGATGCACTATCCCTTCACAGAAAAAGGAAGGTCCTGGTCCCTGAAGAACCTAAAACATCACACAAGGGAAGGGGTTCCAAGCACCCAAGACCTAGGCAGCCAGAACCTACCCAGGGGAAGGTCAGCTACTGTTCATGTAGCATTCCCTGGGATCCACCTGCTTCCTCCTCCAGGCTGCAGAGGTGCAGCCATGCGAACCCCTCCTACTTCTATCTAAGAATCTGGCCAAGCACAGTGGCTCATGCCTGTAATCTAGCACTTTGGGGTAGATCACTTGAGGTCAGGAGTTCAAGACCAGCCTGGCCAACAGAGCGAAACTCCATCTCTACTAACAACAGAAAAATTAGCTGAGCATGGTAGTGTGTGCCTGTAATCCCAGCTACTCAGGAGGTTGAAGCACAAGAATCACTTGAACCCAGGAGGCGGAAGTTGCAGTGAGCTGAGATCACACCACTGCATTCCAGCCTGTGTGACAGAGTGAAACTGTGTCTCCAACAACAACAACAACAACAACAACAACAACAAAGAATCTACAACAGCACTCACAATGAACACCATCTGCAGCAGAACTAGCAAGAAGGTGGTTCACAGACATATTTTGTTGGGCCCCCATGGTATTTTTTTCCTCAACATTGTTTGCTAACATTAAAAAGGGTAATTTCATATTAAAATCAGATTTCTCTCCTTTTCAGATAAACTAGAGTTTCTAGCAACATTTGCCTCTTATTTGTTCCTCTTTCTGCCAATTTGGTAGTCTTCAGAGTGAAGACTGGGAAAAATAATCAAATTATTCTGTGGTCTTTCCACCTGTTTTGGGAATTTTTCTTTGCCCACATGCCTTTGGGAGAATAGGAGAAATAGCTCAAATCTTAGCTTGGCCCTGGCTAGCTGTGGAGACCTGGGCACGGCCTACACGTCCCTGAGTCTATCTGCAAAAGACAGACAACAGGGAGGTGATGATAGCCATAAAGGGCCAATGTGAGGACTGTGCAGGATGAGGCAGGGTGGCCATCCTGCCCGGTTCCTGGGGCTACCGGACCAACACTGGTGTTTGGTTGTTCTCAAGCCTTTGTGGCCTCACATGGAGCAACTTTCTCTCTTGATCTCTGAAGTCAGAGCTAGACAGAGTAAGTTTACACACACACACATACACACACACACACTCTCTCTCTTTCTTTTCTCTCTCTCTCTAAAGAACTCCCTAGCAGGAGAAAGATCACAATCTGAGTGACCTCTAGTGATCCACGAAAGGCTAGGAAGAAGGTTCGGAAACGAGTCACTCATTATTTCCTGAAATGAAAATGCCTCCACTTGCTCTGGAGACTTTGTGTGGCAGACAGAAGCATCGTTGGAAAGAAAATCCAGGCTTACGTAGGTTTATATGAAAGTCTATTAACTTTTCCTTCAATCAAAAGCAAATAACCACAGACTGTATGTATAAGGGACTAATTACAGTATGTGTGTGTATACATGTGTGTGAGTGTTTAAGAAATAACAAAGATAAAAGAAAAGGGGAACAAAAAAAAAACTAGTCCATGAAACTGAGTTTGCCACTCAGAAGCACCCCACTTTATGGTTCTTACTTAAGAGAATTCTCCTGGGAAACACTCCATGAAGCAATATTAGTTATCAAACTGCTCCACACTTGGTAAGTACTAACGTCCTGGTTTGCAGAAGGCTTTTCTTTCATTCTTACGTTAAAAATAATTTTTTTTTTCATTTATAGAGACAGGGTGTTGCTATGTTGCCCAGGCTGGTTTTGAACTCCTGAGCTCAAGTGATCCTCCCTCCTCAGCCTCCCAAAGTGCTGGGATTAAAAGCGTGAGCCACCGCATCAGCCAGAAGGCTTTTCTAAAATAGCCAAGCACCTTCTCTGTACACTGATCATTTGCCTCTTAAACCTAGCTTTGTCCTGAAATGCAGCCAACACCTGAAAACTGTTGGCGATAAACACTGGGGGAAAATCACAGTCTCAAGCCATGTGAAGGAGGCATCAATTCGGGTTCATTTGTACGACGGTATCACGAGGTGTCTGCTAATATCCATAGCCCAGTTGGTGTCATCGATGGGGGTTAAGTGGAGCTGGCTCAGCTAACAGATTAGAGCCACACTTAGTTATCTTCTGAATCACCTTTGGGTTCCCTCCATCGGAAATGCCAGGGTAATAAGAAAAGATTACGGTTTTTATAGTGAACTGCAAACCCTTAAATAAGGGCTCACAGTGGTCAAAGGGTGAATATTTTGCCTGGTTACCTCACTGAACCCTCACAACCCTATGCAAACAAGGCTCTTATTTTTATTTATTTATTTATTGAGACAGAGTCTCACTCTGTCGCCCGGGATGGAGTGCAGTGGTGCAATCTCAGCTCACTGAAACCTCTGCCTCCCAGGTTCAAGTGATTCTCTTGCCTTAGCCTCCCGAGCAGCTGGGATTACAGGTGCCTGCCACTACGCCCAGTAAATTTTTGTATTTTTAGTAGAGATGGGGTTTCACCACGTTGGCCAGCGTGGTCTTGAACTCCTGACCTTGTGATTTGCCGGCCTTGGCTTCCCAAAATGCTGGGATTACAGCCGTGAGCCACGGCACCCAGCCTCAAAGCTCTTATTATTCCCCCCTTTTACAAGTGAGAAAACTGAGGCTCAAGGACATTAAATAGCACTTCCATAATGACACATGGAGGCAGAGCAAGGATCCACTCCAACTCAGACCCCGGGGACCTCTAGGAGGGTCTGGGTGGAAAAGAAAGGTGTCCCAATGTCCCTAGAGTTTCTGGGCTGTCATTTCCTAACCTTCTGCAAATAAACCAAATCAAAACTATGATTCTTCACTGACTGCCTGTAGACGGGCTGAACATCCAGGAGACTTGCCAGGGCTCCCACTGGAGGTGGGTGTGCAGGAAAGAAAACAAGCCTCAATTTAATTGTTACCATGAAAGGTGCTTCAGCAAAACTCACATACGGTGTCAGTCTTTGGGATTTTTCTCTTATTGAAACAAAACACTTCAACCTGCCCTTAGAGCTCTACTGTAGAACACAGAATATAGAAAGTAGAAAAAAATTCAAATGTACTGTGGACCGTTAAGGAAGGTCACCCAACATTGGTATATCCCTAGTCCCAGGCTTCACAGATGTGTGAAGTGCTAGGCCCTTCACAAGGACAAGTCCTTCCAATGTCTGTTGTAGTAAGAATGACCACAGAATCATCCTAAAGCTTCATTTATGTATTTAACAGAACGAAGGCATTTAATCTAGTTTGAATGTCAACGCTAACAGCCCAAGATGAAATGTTCATTAGCAAGTGAGAAGAGTGGCATTTCTCAACACCGACTAGGGCTGTTTTCTAACATTTTCCAATTTTCCATCATTATCATGTCTTTTTTCTTGTGCAGCAAGTTAAATCCAAGAGTTAGCAAATCTTATGCTGTTCCAGCAATGTGGGTAAAAACTAGTAAATAAGGAGAGCCACAACAAGCTTCTTGAGCCTAGAGAATTAAGTCTTTGACGCTATACACAGGACACCTGTGGCACTAAATAGGTGCTCGGTTATTCTCTTATTGATGCTAGAACTGGAAATCTACCCTCCTTTGTGGGAAAGGGCTCACGTGGTGGCATAAGGCAGAAGACAGCTGACGCCTGCCTATTTCCAGCACTCAGATCTGAAGCTGGGAATTAGCCAGAGTCCGGTTGGCTGTGATGATCATGCCTTAGTGACAAAGGTCTGTGGCAGTACTGGTGTGCGGAGAGGACCCTGGCATCTCAAAGGCTGTCTTGCCAGCTTGCACACTGACACCCCCCTTTCAATTGTGGGAGGATTTCTTGGATGCAGCACATTGTTCCAGGCCCACCCGTGCATCTGCCTCTCAGGGAGCCATGGAGTTGTGCCTTCTAGATTCCCTTTTAAGAATGACTTGCCTCCAGCTGGGGGCAGCATGGCCAGCAGAGAACCTCCAGTTGTCAGAGCCTACTGCTCTGGGGGAAGATGGGGTGCAAAGGCTTAGCTGAGCCCAATGTGGGCAACTCCCTACAGGCCATGCTTGATCCAGAGCTCCGGGCCAAGGCTTTGGCAGGCCAACCTCAACTTCTCCCCCTTTCTTTCACAACCATGGATCCTCATAAACATCCTGCACTCCAAACTCCTTTTCAGCACTGATTCCAGAAAATCTGCCTGTGGCAACCTCCACCCAGGCTTGCGTCTCTCTCTCTAGCATCTTCCATGCAGCCTGGATGACTCTTCTTAGAACAGAGAGTACTTTCAGTGCCTTCACAACCAACAGGCAAGCACCAGGAAGCAATTCTACAAATTCAGAGTAGTCCTAGAAGATCCGATGTTAGGGCAACCGAGGTAATTGAGAACAGCTGACCTCTGATCTTGAAAATCTCTGTCCATATATATAAGATACCCTCCAAGCATGCTACACCACGAAAAAGGAGGCCAGGACATTATGCAGGCAGCCGTGCTGTCTGCTATCCCCAGAGCATACCTGGCTAATTGATACTTAACTCTATCTTCAACTCTGTCACAATACAGCACTCTAGCCACCAAGCCTTGCATACTGGAAATATCAGATGAGATGAAGTCAATTTGCCATTTCAGAACTGTATTTATTTAGAGACGGAGTCTCCCTCTGTCACCCGGGCTGGAGTGCAGTGGCATGATCTCGGCTCACTGCAATCTCTGCCTCCCGGGTTCAAGCGATTCTCCTGCCTCAGCCTCCCGAGTAGCAGGGACTACAGGCGTGTGCCACCACATCTGGCTACTTTTTTGTGTTTTTAGTGGAGACAAAGTTTCACCGCGTTAGCCAGGATGGTCTTGATCTCCTGACCTCGTGATCCACCCGCCTTGGCCTCCCAATGTGCTGGGATTACAGGCGTGAGCCACCATGCCTGACCGAGAACTTTATTTTTGTTATTATCACCATTTCTGCTCTCAGCTGAATGTGCACTCCTAAAATTCATACATTGAAATCATAATCACAGTGATGCTTTAGGTCATGAAGGCAGGGCCCTCATTAGTTTCTCATTAACGCCTTTAGAAAAGAGACTCCAAGGAGCCAGCCTGCCCTTTCCGCCATGTGAGGATTTGGCAAGACGATGCCACCTATGAGAAAGTGATCCTTCACCGGACACCAAATCTGATGGCACCTTCGTCTTGTTTTCCCTGCCTCCAGAACTGTGAGAAATAAACCCTGGTGTTTACAAGCTACCTAGTTTAAGGCATTTCGTTATAGCAGCTGGAATGCACTCAGGTAACTTCTCTTCCCCTAAATGGAAAATTATAATGAAAAGTTCTGAATTTTTTACAATGTTCCAAGTTTTAAGTCCAGGAAGCCACTTATCCTTCTGAAAGGACAAATTCTATGACTTTCTGGTTCTGTTCACCTTGAAATCTGACCAAGGTGCAGCATCAACTGTTATTAGGTAATATTGCTTAAGATAAGGATGTGCCTGACTGATGAGCAGCTTCTGGCCTGGGAGGCTCTAAATAGAAATACCTGGTGTGAAGCCAAAGCTGTGGGCTTCCCTGAATGTGGGCACTTTTAACTGGACGCCTCCCATGTGGAGCGTGAGCCTTCTAAGGTGGATCCCCCCCACGCACCGTTAGACTCACGTTTTTGCATCTGAGACATCACTGTGCAGAGCAGGGCTCGGGGGAGCACTAGGGGGCCAGCTGCATGGGCATGGGAAGGATCACGCCCACTGAAGAGGACAGCCCACTGTGGCCCTGCTGCCCTGCACACTATGGCTCCACCTCTTCTGAGCAGATAGGTCCCTGGCTGACGTGTGGGTCTGAATTCTTAGTAGAGCCTCAGAAGAGGATTGACCTCTGGCAAGCAAAGCTCAGAGTTACCTGATATATAATATATCCAGAACCAGAGAAGCTCCTTACTTCTAGAGAACGTAAATTCACAAAGATTTTGGAGGAAGAATTGGGGTTCTTTTTCTGGTTGGTTACAGTTAATTTATTGGAAGGGAAAAAAGGAAGGAAGGAAGGAAGAAGGAAGGAAGGAAGGAAGGAAGGAAGGAAGGAAGGAAGGAAGGAAGGGGCTTTGAAAACTGTAACTACTCAGTTTATTTGGTGCAGAGAAATTCTAAATGCAAGGTATGCATGCATTTAATCTGTAATGATCTACAACCATACATAGCATTTTAAGATGACACCAAATTTTAGTTGCTGAATAATTCCGTTGTTTAGAAATCTACTGAACATTTAAACTCATGGCATCATAGAACACTATGTAGAGCATGATTGGAGACTAGCATTGATAAAGTATCACACACAGAGAAGTGAAGGCATCAACAGCATGCAGAAAATTCAGTGCTGATATATATAGGAGATGAGACGGTTTATCACAGAACAGGCATGCACTTCCAGACTTTGCTTTACCTTGTCATAACAGGATTGTGAATACCATATAAATGATCTTTATGATAACCATTATTACCATTTTCCATACTGTAACAAAAATAAATACACCAAAACACCATGTTATCTCTCAGATGAAGTATTTACATCATGGATTACAAAGACAATGTAATGGTCACGAGAAGTATGCAACAATTTGTTAAATCTAAAAACAAGGCAAATGAGTAGTTTACATTTTGCTCCTTTTAAATTTCAAAGACCAAATGACTACTTTATAGATTAATAAACTTAGCATATAAAACTTTCATTAATTCATGAAGTATTTCTTGAGCACCTTCCCTGTGCCAGCCCTCTTTTGAAGAGGCATTGCAATTTATTTTTGCCTGGACAGATCTGCTGTTTCTACGTAATTTTAAGATGCCAATAACTTAATGTTTAAGGTCCATTACATAATAATATAAACCTCCCCCATCCCATCTAAGAATATAGTTTTTTTAAAAAAGGCTTACTTTTTCATGGGTATAGTTTCAACACTATAAAATACAAAAAAGGGAGATAAAATTAATTTTTTTAATTATTATGAAAGCTCAGCAACTACATCCCCCAGATATTTACTCTAACACAGATACTGACAGTGCAAATTCAGGAGAGACCCACATTGAAAGATGGGCGAAGTGAAAAACGAGGCGTACACATTCACCAGACACAGAACGAGGGGCAGACTACAGAGCCAAAATGGAAAGTGTAAAAACAGTTATCATAAAGTGAAATGCCAGGTCCCCGAGAGAGAGGAACTGCAAACAAGAAATAAAAAGGCTGGTTAGGGAAGCTGAGAGGATTAAGCAAGAGGAAAAAGGCTGTTAAAACAAGTATAGAAAAATCAGTACCAAGAAAAAAAAAATTCACCTGAATAGAAATGACCCAACTACTACTACTAAAAAAAAAAAAGAAATCAAGTTTAATCTCATCAGAACTCATCTTTAGCAACTCGTTGAAGACAGCACCACCCAGGAAATGACCCCCATGTCTGCGGAAGGCCACATACTTACTCATCGTACACATCCTCCGAATCCATTCGACGATAGTACTTAGCCAGTTTTACCGCAAAAATTAGAGCCGGAAGTAAAAATACAGTAGCTTTTCCTATGCCAAACCAAAACAAATTCTAGAAAAAAAAAATCAGGAGAATTGAATGTTTGAAGATGGGAAATGGGAAAAACAGTTGCTCGGGGTTTTTTTTTTTTTTTTTCTGGAATTTTAAAAAATGAGCTGTCATTTTGTTCTTTAAAACAATTTGAGAATGTCATGTGAACCAAGCACTATGTGAAGTGTTACTCACATTGTTAGGATTCATTTCATCTTTCTAAAAACCTTAAGTAGATCCTAATATTATGTTTATTTTACAAAGGAGGAGCAGTAGCAGCAAGTGGCAAAGCCAGGATGCGAATCTAGGCCACTCTAACCCAACTTCTAACCACCCCCAACAGACTCTCTTTGTTGCCCGACTGTCCAGTAATCAGAGCATGGATGGCCAGCTGGTCTGAGTTTCAATCCTTCTTATGAGTTGTATTTTTCTTTTTTTTTTGAGCCGGAGTCTCACTCTGTCCCCCAGGCTGGAGGGCAGTGGTGCGATCTCAGCTCACCGCAAGCTCTGCCTCCTGGGTTCACGCCATTCTCCTGCCTCAGCCTCCCGCTGAAACTACAGGCGTCCGCCACCATGCCTGGCTAATTTTTTGTATTTTTAGTAGAGATGGGGTTTCACCGTGTTAGCCAGGATGGTCTCGATCTCCTGACCTTGTGATCTGCCCTCCTCGGCCTCCCAAAGTGCTGGGATTACAGGCGTAAGCCACCGCGCCCGGCGAGTTGTTTGTTATTAAGATGACAAATTAACCCTTCTGGCTTTGGTCTGCATCTGAGCAGTTGAGATGCCTGCATCTTCATTCCATAACATTACTGTGTCAAGAAGTTAGAAGCAATGCTCACTGCATGCTAGGGTCTCAATGTTCCACATTTAATTTAACCAGTCTTGAAGGTACATAGAAGCTAGATGACCATGTTTTGTCTAAAGAGCAATGTTAAAGTATAATTTTTTAAATAGTTGCCAACATTTGTAGGTCACATTTCACACGTAAACCTGGATTTACATCTTTTCTTCAAAAATCTAAAGTTCCATCTCTTAACATTGAACCCTTGTTCCCACAAAGCAATAGTCTGGAAGTGGTTCTTCCTTCAAGGGGACATTTGTCCTCAGTGGTGACACAGTCTACACCACTCACATCTGCAAGGTGATATTCCAAATGATTTAACCTTATGGACAAACAATCAGGACCCATGCATAGATGTCATGGGCTAAATGCCACTCTGGCTAGCATCCTACACTTGGCCTGCTATGTAAATCTGCAACCTGCCAAGTTCCTATGTAAGTTCAAGTCTGACGATATCCCTGCCTTAAGATAATGCTGTCAGTAACACTAGAACGACTCTCCCCAGCCCACCATGAGGCCAAATGCCACTTGGAAATAACACCTGCTTCACCCTCACAGCTTGACCCTGCATTTCTGCTTTGCTCCTGGCTGAGTTCAGAATTACAGAGGTGGCATCTCTTGGCTCTTAACTTCTAGTCAATTTGTTTTCCCTTCCCTCTATGGTCTGTTAGATTTCTGTTTTCAACCTTGTCTTGAGAAGCTTTATAACTTTATAATGACCCTATCCTTTTTTCTGGAAGCTGCCTCAATCCTTTTGAGGACAACTGAGATACAAAATAAACATGTGAGCTAGTCCACAGTCTATCTGATTGACTAAATGGATGCCCAGAGCTCTTCCTTACGATGTAAACCCTCTGCTATACAGCTTCAGCCTCTGATCTTCCTGAGCAGCCTCTAGGCCTCCCCTCTGTCCCTGGATCTATGGAGAGGCATCTGGTGCCTACGTGGTTCGACTGAATGGGGTGGGTGGTGGAGGCTGGACATAAAGAGAGGTCAATTCAGAATCAAGCAGGTTGGACTCCCCTAATGAAGGCTTCAGCCAAAGCTGACGGCAAGGGCCACCGAGCACAGGACAAAAAAGAGTAGTTGCTAGAGGAAGGAAGCATCCAGGAAGCAGGGCTCAGGGTCTGCGTGGTTGGGTTGGTGGCAGAATCCTTTTCACTCAGGCATGAAAGTCCCTCCAGCAGACAGATGGACAAGTGAATGAGGGAGATGGACAGACAGGGCAATAGGGATGAACTGTGACAGAGACAACAACTGATGCCACCTGACAACGCATCAGTGATACTCTGTGCCAGGTATTATGCCAGACAACAGGGGCACAGCCTTGAATGCACTGGTGACTCATGGAGTGGAGAGTCTAGAGTGTGCTGGAGGGACGGGTCTTAATCAAAGAAACATATAAACATGTAATTGAAACAGCAATAACAACGCTAAAGGAAAAGCATAGAGGTCTACAGGAATGAGGAAAACGGAACCCAACCTAGTTTGGGGAATCAGAAAAGTCTTCCTGGAAAAAAGACATGTTTGAGCTAAGACCTGAAGACTGAACTACAATAGTAGTGAATATTCATTGAACGTTGATGTTCCAACAGCGTGAAGGGCTTTACATGTGACCTCTCACTGAACCATCAAAGAGCCCCATGTAGGCGAGGAACTCAGAAAATTTCAGTAACTTTTCAAAGTCACAACGTTCTGAAAATATAGAAGTGGAATTTTCATTCAGACTTCATGTTCTCCACCATTGTGTTACCAGACCTAGAGGAGTTAGGTCTTACAGTGGGGAGTGGGTAGGTGGAAAGGGGAAGAGGAGAGAGAAAGAGAAGGGTGGTGTGTGCCCATCTCCAGTCCAGGCAGAAGAAACGGCATGTGCATGGGCCCTAAGGTGAGGAAACTGAGATGTATTTGACAAAGTGAAAGCAGTTGAGTGTGTCTGGAGCACAGAAAGAAAGGCAGGCAGGCAGAGAGCACACAGTGAGATCTGGAATGGGGAGGCCCAGCCATGCAGAGCCTAGTGTGATGACCTATGAAGGATCCTGATCTTTAGATAGCAACGGGAAGCCACTGAGGTGCTTTCAGCAGAGGGAGAGGATCCGCTCACAGAGAGTCAGCGTCTATTGAGGAGGGAACAGAGCTGAGGATTAAGCCTGATTAACTGGAACTTGCCATCCCGATAGTCACATTTCCAAGACTTTTTAATGACAAATGAAGTTTGGTGCAACTTTGGGGTTGTATATGTAGTTGTACTGAGTATTCTTTTGAAGATTAGAAATCTGCACACCCGTGACTGTCTTTCTGATTATTCTGAACTAATAGGAGTTTTCTCCCTGCAGGTTTCCTGACTGGTAAATATAATCCTGGTAAGGAAAAAAGATAACCGCCCAGAATTTTGACTTTTCTAGTCTATTAGCATATTAATACATTGATCAAGATGTTGCATTTTAGGTTTTGGATTCCCTCAAGCAGAAAACATTATTAAAGTGTATATCACAATTCAGAAAAACAACCAAAGATGATGGATTCATTGCGTCTTCTTTTGAAAGATGAAATCTTACCAGGGGGTCGATAATGTAGCTACACAGAAAGACATCAACAGCAGTATCTAGAGCGGTGGCCACAGGTTTGCAGGATGCCACTTTCTCACGGATCTAGGGGGGTGGAAACACAGGCAAACTTTGAGCCGTATCCACAAAAATCCACAGGAATGAGACGTGCCATTTACTTTTGACTTGGTGTCACAAAAAGGATCTCCATGTCCTCCAAGACAAGGGTCCCCAACCCCTGGACCACAGATTGATACCAGCTAGTAGTACCAGTCCGTGGCCTGTTAGGAACCGGGCTCCACAGCAGGAAGTGAGCGGCGGGTGAGCAAGCAAAGCTTCACCTATATTCCGCCTCTAATGTAGCAGCATTAGTTTCTCATAGGAGCATGAACCTTATTGTGGAACTGCACATGCGAGGGATCTAGATTGTGCTCCTTATGAGAATCTAATGCCTGATGATCTGTCATTGTCTCCCATCACTCCCACATAGGACCATCTAGTTGCAGGAAAACAAGCTCAGGGCTCCCACTGATTCCACATTATGGTGAGTTGCACTTATTTCATTATATATTACAATGTATTAATAATAGAAATAAAGTGCACAATAAATGTAATGCCCTTGAATCATCCCGAAACTACCACTGCCCCCAGTCTGTGGATAAAACTGTCTTCCACTAAACCAGTCCCTGGTGCCAAAAAGGTTGGGGACTGCTGCTCTAAAACATGGAACTGACGGCTGATGTGCATGGATGAATTCTGCATATACAGTTACGGTTGGCCCTCCATATCCCTGAATTGTGCATCCATGGATTCGACCAATCATAGATTAAAACATATTCAGAAAAAAAAGAGAGTTGCATCTTTACTGAACATGTACAGACTTTTAAAATCATTATTCCTGAACCAATACAGTATACCAATTATTTACATAGCATGTACATCGTATGAGGTATTATAAGTAATCTAGAGAGATTTAAAGCATACAGGAGGATGTACATAGGTTATGTGCAAATAACTGTATCTTTTATATAAGGAACTTGAGCACCCAAGGAGTTAGGTATCTGCAGGGGGCCCTGGAACAAATCACCCATGGATACTGAGGGACAATTGTACATATTTTAAAGCAAGATCCTTAGTCTCTCTGAGCCTTGGTTTCCAGTTTCCTCATTTGTTTTGGAAGAGTGACCCAACCTACAGGACTCCTGAGAGAATTAAAAAGTTCTTGTGCCCAGCGTAGTGTTTTAGTTCAAATTTGTTACCTGGCCCCTTTGTTACCTGAAAAAGGGGGTGGGAAGCAAACAGAAGAATTGCATATGGCAAAGGTGAGCAAAGGGGACCAGGAGGTGGCTGTCCTCTGACCTGGTGGGCAGCCCTAGAAGTCTTGGTCCTGCATGTCAATATCCTTTCACTTACCTCCTACCAAATTACGGGAAAATTTAATTTTATTTCTTCCAGATTTTACCCTAGAAAAATGACTATCCTAAAACATGACCCCCCCTTAATATTCATAAAAGATAAACTACTTACAGAGAACTCTATCCACTGCAGATAGTGTTCAAAATATCCTATTATTGTTTTCCTATACTTCTTAGTTTCCTGGAAAGAAACAGAAGATGAGTAGAAGCCTTAAAATGATGACAGCATACTTAAACATTATAAATATTTAATCTGTAACATTCATGTGCCCACTTACGGACACGCTTACTTTAAAAAGGAAGACTCACCTCAATAATAACAGAGGAAATATTGTTTGTGATGAAGTTCTGAGCAAAATCCAGAGAAGCTAGAATCCTATTTACTCTCTCCTGAAACACACAGCCACAGTTAGCAGGGTATCAAGTCACACAAAGATTTAATTAGATGATTTGCATATTGATTCAAGTATTGTAACTCAGCTCCACAACACCATGACCTGGACCTCCTAGTTAAGAGGAAGACAGAACCCGCCCAGCCCCCTGAGGGCAGGGAAGGAGATGAGCTGAGAGGGGCATTTACTCTAGGCCAGACACTGGGCTAGTCTTTGATAGGAATGGCCTTGCTGGAAACTCACAAGGAGGCAGGAAGGAAGGTACTGTTTGCTAGGCTCCCTTCGCAGATGAGGCAGCTCAGCCTCTTCAAGGTCACCATGCTGGGGAAGCATACAACAATGCTGGGATTTGCACCAAATTTTTTTTCCACCGCAAAGCCCATAGTCTTTGCATCACAACACAAGCAAAGATGAGTCCTCTGCCAACCCACATGGCAGCTTGGTGCAAATTGGAAAAGGGGCCTTTTCTGCCCAGGGACCTCAGGGCACAGAGCCTGGCCGGTGAGTCAATGGCCAGTTTCTGCCCCCCACTAACCCCCTTGGCTGGATCCCTCATGAAAGGCCTTGTACCACTGCACACCCTCGCCCTGTGCACACAAGTAGCAAAGCACCTGCACGTAGTCACTGGTGTGTTTCCAGGTTCCCCTGGCATGACACACACTCATGAAATGGCAACTGTGATCAGAGGCATAGGGAGGGTCCCGGAGCAGAGTAAATGTAAACATCTTCAGAGGAGCTGAGCCACGATGTTGGCCTCATTGAGAAAAGTGGAAGGAGGGAACATTTAGTTTTACCATGGAGGCTGATGCTCAAAACCTCTCATGGACAGGCTATTTCGTTCAATGAAAAACTATCTTCTGAGTTGCCCGTTGGTGCTGTGGATACAAGATGAATACAACACAGCCTTGCAGCTCAGTGTCTGCTGCGGGAATGCTTGCAGCCTGCACGTGGCCCCTGTGGTAGATTGCATTAGCTGCTCAGGATTATTGATACGCTCCTCGGATAACTTCCCAGAGCGTGGAGTGTACTTCCCCAGCCAGATGACGATGTGACCATGTGGCTTGCTTTGGCCAATGGAATGCTGGTGAAGGGGCAGGGTGCCCGTTCTGAGCAGTGGCTTAAAGGACAACCTGTGCCTCCTCTTATCCCCTGAATTCCACTATGACGACATGAGGTGCCCCAGACAGGAGCTGCTCCTTCAGGCCGGGTCTCTCAATGGGAAGATGTGTAGAGAAGCCTGCTGTAAAACCAGCAGGGAAAATGAACACTTATACTTAGAAGGCACTGAGGTTTGGGATTGTGTGTTAGGCAGCATTATCTCTGTGAAAGTGACCAATGTACCTTCAAAGCTTGCATCCTGCACATCAAAATATAGATTTCACCTACATACCTAATAGTCTGCTAAGATGATGTCTGCACTTATAGAAGTACTTGCAGAAAGGAAATAGTAAGAAAACTCAATTTGGTATAAATAGGTAGATAACCAAGGCTTTCTTTTTTCTTTAAACTTAAAGTACCTACAAAAATCACATTTCTAGCATTCTTTGTGTGGTGTTTTATAACAAAACCCCATGATGGAAAACAAAGTAAACCCTTACCAACAATCCATTGCCTGTGCGTTGAAGTATCTTGACACTTTGGTATAGAGTGCTCTGGCGAAAAACATAGATAATATTTCCAAAATTATGACATGAAACAGCAAGATCACATACCTTGTGTCCTCCCTTCCCACAAGACAGCCATCAAATCTGTCTTTACACTGTAATGGTTTCATTCTAGAAAAAATAACCAGCACAATTAACAATGTGTACCTTCTATGCCTCTGGTGTAAGAAAACCTGAAGAAAAAAATTGGATATATATCCTAAAGCTGTGAAGAACAGCAAATCACATGTGAGGCATCCAAGAAATCCCTTTGAATTAGGTTTGATCAAAGCAGAAGGCATTATTTAAAACAGAGCCTGCCCCACAAGAGTGGTTAACCTGAATGGTTTAGACTGGAGGTTGACAAACTTTATCTATAAAAGGCCAGAATAAACACTTTAGGTTTTATCTGCCATACTCCCAACTACTCAACTTTGTCCTTCTAGTCAAAAGCAGCCACAGAGAGTTTGCAAATGAGTGGGTATGGCCATATTCCAATAAAACTTTATTTACAAAAACTGGTGGTGGGCTGAATTTAGCCTGCAGGCTGTAGTTGGCAGGGTACCTAGCTTGCCAACCCCTGGTTTAGATCATAGGTCACATGTACAAAGCACTTTGCCTATTTGTGGACAGCTTGCCCTAGCTCTGAAAAGGCCAAAGGGTCCTGTGTACTTGGAAAAAAAGCATTTAAAAAAAAAAACAAATGCAAAGCCAGCTTAAAATGTTAACAAATTTGTGTTAGGCATAAACAAGTGTACAGAAAATTGTAAAGAGCACTGGACACAAATTAAGAAAATTCAGTGAAAGGACTTTGTGAATAGTCTAATAAATTAGGAAATCAAGAGAGAAAAAAAGGGTACTAGAAACTAGTCCTGGAAAGTTTGGTGTTGGGATGTTCGGATGTTCGGATGTTGGAGTGGAGTGGATTTACTTGCTTGGCCAAACCTGAGCAAGCTGATTCAGTAACCCAGTTTCCACACACTTCTCTCCTTGCTGGCTACAAATATGGCCCATACACAAGCATAATATAATAATTCCTCCTCTTTACTGAGATCCTCTGAGGTTAGGTCCTTCATCTCCACAAACAGGTAAAAAAGCAAGGCAGTTATTGATCCCAACATTTTTAGATGAGGAAACTGAGAAGCTACAATAGTTTGGAGAGCCAGAAGCAGGATTTAAAACCAGGTCTGTCTGACTCCAAAGTCCACGTTCTTTCTTTGCTAGAAACTGCCTTTATTGCATTAAGAAAAGAAGTCACAAGGTGGTGAGAAGCAAATGGAAAGGATGGAAGAGAGGAGAAAGGAAGCAACGCCCATCAAGACAGCAGATAGGGCTAAGTAGATCTACAGAGAGAAGCACTTAACCTCACCTTCACATATTTCTAGACAAAGCTTGGAGAAAAAGAATAGAGTGAGTCCACAGCACTGTAGCTAAATGCGGGGCATAGGAGGGCCTGCTCACAGCAATGGAAACTAGAGCAAGGTGGAGGAGACAGCCACAGATTTTATCTAACTGTTCGCACTCAAATGAAAAACCGAAGGGAATAAACAGAAGAGGGAGGTGCAATTATTTTGTCTAAAGCCCAGCTCAGCTTCTGGGGCTGAGGTCAGTCAGCTGGGACCTACGAGAGATGAGCATGTGTCATGAGGGTAAATGAAAGCCAACTCGCTGCAGTAGATTTTGCTCAGGTCACAGTGAAATACAATACGTTGTTGACTGTTACCAGTGATTGTTCTATAGGAAGGACTCGTTGCTGGTGAATCGTTTTAATAGTTTGTGCATCTCTTTTCAGGGAGTTCCTCAAATTTCCTGGAGGCTACAAAAAGAATAAAAAACAAAGATCAATACCATCTTTCCAGACTCAAAGCACTCTCGCTATCCTCAGGGGCCCTGCGCAGCCAGGAGGGCAGCCATGACATAAGCACGCAGCCCTCCTTGTGCAATGATGGCTGTGAGTGGACATGGGGGCTGGTGTGAGGGACAGGGCCAAGACACCCTCCCTCAAAGCACAGAACCATGGACTCTCAGCAATAACCCACACCCAAGAGCCCTCCCTGAGTGCCAGAGGCTGTGCTCTCTCCACCTCACCATGATACAGCCACTCTCAGCTTCTCATTTTACAAGTGAGAAAACCAAGGCTCCATGGAGAAATTTCTATTTAACCCATACTCAATGAGTGTTTGATTTATTAATGAATAACAATTCTATAAGGTAGATACCATTACCCCATTTTACAGATGAGGAAACTAAGGCAGAAGGGAGAAGTAACTTGCCTAAGCTCCTATCCTGAGTCACGACTTAGACCCAGGTCTTCCTCAAAAGCCCAGGTTCCTCATCACCATGGTATGCTGCTTCTTGGATGGGACCAGTTAAGGCCAAGTAGTCACCAACCAGCAGAGGAGTTGAAAGGGGAAGCTTGTGGGACTGGGGTGGTACCTCTCTCTTCCCTCATCACTTACTATTGGTAATTCAAAGCAACACATGAAATCTTCCTCCCACAGCCCCAGGTACTATTCCCTACACTGCAGGAGAACAACCTGTGTGCATGGGCAGGTGTGTTTAGAAGTGGAGGGGCTAACAGGGGTGGAAACAGATCCAGAGCTAAAGTAATGAGGGTGCCCACACTCAAAGCAGAGGGTGGAAGGCTGCAGTCATCTTGAGATAGAAGGCAGGTGGGACTTCGGACCAGATTGAAGACTGGTGGAAACCAGGAAGAGGAGCCCAAAGCACCTCTCCCTGTCCATCACCATAAGGCACGCCCGCCAGCTCATCGACAGTTAACCATTGCCATGGCAACACTGGGAAGTTACCACTCATTTTCTAGCTATTTCTGAACAAACCGCCGCTTAATTAGCATTCCATTGAAAGTGGTTATAAATAAGACTACAAAACTGTCCCTAGGCTGCTACCTTCTGCATACTGCCTGTGGGGTCGCCCTGCTCCAGAAGAGCAGTCTCTGAGCTGTCACACTGCCGCTACCTCAATAAAGCAGGTTTCACCTGCCCTGCATCAACCCGACACCATCCTGGCAACATTCAAGGCTCAGAGAGGTTTGAGCCACATGGCAATGGCTGTGGACGGAAACATAATGACACGCACAAGAGAGGTGTTTATGAACAAGGGATTACTCACAGCGTGAGGAACCTCTTCAGCAGCTTCCCTAAAAATGGCACTGACGTTTGACATCTACAACTACTACAGTATTTAACCGGGCGATTTGAACTCACCAAACTATTTGCTTTTGCCTCCAGATCATACGCAAATGATAAAAGATTCACTCCTGCGGGGGATTTACCAGTCTGCAATAGAAGTGAACAAAAATTGTCTTATGGATATGGAATCTTTAAGCCTTAACACAACATCTAGTAGGCAAGAGATTAAACATGGATTCATGACCATAAAGTAATCACGTGAGGTTAGACACTCTTAAACAGGTGGCAACATTTGCATTCTTATTTATACATATAAAGCCATATTTTTATTCAATCATATTATTCAACTGTGAAAAGGAATGAAGTACTGATAATGTTATAATATGGATGAACTGCAAAAACGTGCTCAGTGAAATAAGTCAGACACAAAAGGTTGTGTGTTATATAATCTTTCTTTTTTTAATACCCAGACTAGGTAAATCCATCTAAAGAGACCACAGATGGGCCAGGCGCGGAGGCTCACTCCTGTAATCCCAGCACTTTGGGAGGCCGACGTGGGCGGATCATGAGGTCAAGGGATCGAGACCATCCTGGCCAACATGGTGAAACCCCATCTCTATTAAAAATACAAAAAAAATTAGCTGGGTGTGGTGGCATGTGCCTGTAGTCCCAGCTACTTGGGAGGCTGAGGCAGGAGAATCACTTGAGCCCAGGAGGTGAAGGTTGCAATGAGCCGAGACTGCGCCACTGCACTCCAGCCTGGTGACAGAGCGAGACTCCATCTCAAAAAAGAGACCACAGATGGGTGGTTGCCCAGGGTTTGGGGAGGAGCAAATGGGGGCAACTGCTTTGCTTTAGGGTGATGAAAATGTTTTGGAACTACATAGAGGCAGTAGTTGTGCAACACTGTGAATGTACTAAATGCCACTGAATTGCTCACTTTAAAATGGTTAGTCTTATGTGAATCTCATCTTAATAAAAAATCAAAGGCAAAACAGAAATACACATCTGACGCTCTGATTTCCCCTAAAGGATCAAGCATGAACACATGCGTCATACCTGAGCCAAGTAGGTGTCATAACTCATTCTGTCTATTCCACAAGCAGCAAAATCCTGAAGGCTTTTTCTTCCTGCTGCACCCAACAGAAAGATATTGAGATTTACCTTCAGACTTTCCAATTCACTGCTTATGCTTGCAGTATGCTGCAAAAAAAAGGAAGTTACAAATCAGTCCCTTATTCTCCAAGAATGTCACAAATCAAATGCTTTAAAACAGCAATAAAAGCTGGATGTGGTGGCTCATGCCTGTAATCCTAGCACTTTGGGAGGCTGAGGTGGGAGGATCGCTTGAGTTCAAGAGTTCAAAACCAGCTTGGGCAACATAAAGAGACCTTGCCTCTATGTTAAAAAATTTTAAACATAAAATCAAAAAATAAATAAAAAAATAAAGAGCAATCAAACCAGAAAGGACAAAAGAATGTGCAAGCACTTGACTGGCATCTCTTCCTGGTACTTCCCGTCCTGTTCCTTTCCCATCTCTTTCTTTATGGGTCCCATGGCTTCTAAGCCCCCAGCTTTGACAAACAGAGAAGCTGAAAGGGATAGGGTAGGCTGGCATTCCAGGGAAGGGACCAGCACAAACAAGAGCTGGGAGTAGGAAGAAATGGGACATATCATTTGGGGAACAGTGTTTAGTTACTTGGGCAAAGATTATGGAAACATGGTCGTTGATTCAGGGTTGTACTGATAGTCAGCAGTTTCAGCAGCATCGAGTGCCTGCATGTCCCAGGCAACCTCTCCAACTGCTACCCGCCATAGCACACAGAGAAGTGACCCACAGCATGATGGGCATCTATTTAGGGTTTGGTTACAAAATTATGTATGTTTAATGCATACATATATGGACTATTTAGGGAAGATAATAAACTTTTCATATACAGCTTTCAAATACAGCTTTTCACATTTGAAAACCATCAAGCCATCATGGCCTCATGGTAACTCTAGCAGCGGTGGGCAAGCTGTGGGGGCTTGGGAATAGCCTCTTCTCCTGGGATCCCTTTGTTTCTGCTCTCATTCAGGAAACCCAAAAGAGAGAGCACGCTCCAGATTCTTTCCGGCAGAAAGTCAGAAGAGGCCTCCAGGTACAGGGAGTGGGGCTGGTCTAGGCTAACGGCACCCTAGGCCCGGGCAGCTGAAACTCTTGCTCTTTCTTCAGGCCAGTGCGCTCTGGAATGGCCCTTCCTCCAAGTCTCAAGACTCAAGACTGGAGTGTGGGCTCTGGCAAAAGAAAAGAGCAGGTTCTGTTGGCTTCCATCCTTTGCTTTAGTTCACACTGGAGTCCTGGGGCCACCATGTGACTCACAAGGAAGCAGGACACTGTGGAACATGCTTCTCCACACCGAGTGCCCAGTTTCAGGGACTGGCAGAAAGGGAGGCTGGTCTTGGAGCGAGAGCCTTCCTGAGGAACAAACAGGGATTGTTCCCACAAAAACGGCTATAGTCAGCAAAACCACATCTTTCCCTGTGAAATGTCCACAGTGAGGCCGCTCTAGAGGCTCTTGCATAATACATTAGAAAAACTCAAACCACAAGAAAGACAACTGGTCGGGCAGTGAGAAAACGTTTTGGAACCAAACAGAGGTGAAGGTTACACAGCCATGTAAATATACCAAATGTCACTTTGAAATAGTTAATTTGATCTTATGCAAATGTCATCTCAATTTCCAGAAAAGAAAGAAAGACAACCGGATTTGGTGAAGGAATGTGTTATGTCGATTCCATGACGACTTCTAATTACCTCATTAATGTTGAGATAGTCACTGATGTCGAAGCTGTTCTCCAGGTGAAGAGTGCCGTAAGTGCCTCTATTCTTTTTGCAGTCACTGTGGGAATGAACAGAGAAATTAGGACCTAGAAAAGCTGTTGCAGCTACCTATGTCCACTGCTGAAGAGGAGGAGGAAGGCTCACTGGTTCTCTTTGTTTAATCTGTGAACACAGAAGTGGGGCTGGGTGTCCCAAGTGGCCACACAGATCCCTCAGCACCCACCACCTCTGACTTCTTGCCTTGTTTGACTAACCGTCCTGTTCTTGGAAGAGATGCAATAGGATTGATAAATCTATCTTTCCACCTGTCTCCTACATGCTCTAGTTCCGCTGTGGACCACAAGTTTACAGATTGGGAAGAAATAAATTCTCATTAAAAAGAAAAACAATACTTGCTAGAAAGAGAGACACTGCAGAGTAGATTAGGAACTTCATTAAATGATTCTATCAAGCTCCTGCCAAGAACACTTCTACTCTGTATTTCCAGGGCCGAGCTGCACTGACTAAATATATGCTTAGACATCTATCCTCATGGTAAGGACAGAGATAAGGAGGAGACGCAGACATCTCGATGGTCAGCACAGTTTGCTGTAACCTAACTCAGTCCCCTGGGTGAAATGGCCTCACCTCGCCATGCCTCAATCTTATCTCTAAAATAGGAAAATTTGACTTTTTTAGACTTGACTGAGCTAAGAAGGGTAGGCCTCATTGGATGTGTATTCCTGCCACAAAAATAGTGGCATCCAGGAATGCAGCATCTCTTCCTTGTCACAGCAGCCAGGGCCTTCTAGGCCTGAGGGATGCCTAGAAGAAGCAACTTTCCCACATCCCTAGGAGGTGTGATCCTTCCCTCTAGAGAACACGCAGGTTGGTGTTGTTGGAACTCAGAGCTTGATTATGAACAACCAGAGGTAACACTGGAGGGCTCTGCAGCAGCCAGAATCACAAGGAGCTAGCATGCCAGGCTGAAACACTTGGCTTTGTCCTCTCAGCCTAGGGATGGTGAATGGGTTTAATTGTGTAGAGAAAAGTCAACCGATTGCTAATGTATGCCTAGAGCACACAGTCCAGAAGGAGCCTGAGGCTCCCTGGGCTAAGCAGGAGACCTCAGTTGACTATCAATGTCTACCCTGAGTATGGGGGATGGGCACCAGACGCTTATCAGTTGCCTCTGCCATGGGCAATGGAGAAACTTAGGCAGGAAGTGACACATGTGGTTGGGCCACATCACATCATGCTGGGAGGTTTGGAGGATGGAATGAGAACAAGGAGACCAGTTAGAATGAGAGAGAGAGAGAGAGAAAAGAAGAGAGAGAGGAGAAGAAGAGAGAGAGAGGAAGAAGAATGAGAGAAGGAGAAGGAGAAGGAGAGGAGGAGGAAAAAAAGAGGAGGAGGAGAGCAAGAAGAATAAGAAGGCAGGAGGAGGAGGAAGAGGAGGAGGGAGAAGAGAGAGGAGGAGAAGAAAGAAGGAGAAGGAAGAAGGAGAAGGAGAAGAGAAGATTTAAGAAGATTCAGAAGACGGAAGCTACAAGGCAACATTTATAAGTTTCATTCTGGAGTGTTGGTCTCAAGGGCTCCAGAAACTTCAGGTTTCACTGACATGGGCTGATAATGGAAAACCAAGGATTTTCTCTGTCCTTTGATTTTGTAATTCGGCCCAAAGTTGGTAGGGGATTTTAAAGCCCAAAGAGGCAGCCTACTGCCCTTACCTACCTGCCTTTGTCTGTGTCCCTCGGCCTTAGTGCCTTTTTCCTTCTTCTTGCCAGCCCAATCCCATAAACCTACGAAGATTAGCTTAGGTTGCCCCATTACCCTGGAAGTCTTCCTAATCCCTCCATTCCCACACTTGCACTAAGACACCCATCTTGGGGGCTTCTAGGTAGCCTCGGTACATTTCTATCACCTGTAAGTAATTCCACCGTATTTCTAGAACACCTCTTTTACAGATCTAACTCTACTTACAGGTTTCCTTGAACAGTTAGGATCAGAGTTCTAGATTTCAATTTGTATAATTCTCAGGTATCCGTTGTCCACAGGTGCTTCATTATAATAATAAAAGCAGTTGTTAGTAATGGTACCTCGACTCCTGTTACACAGGTGCTCATATAAGTAGTAAAGTAGATTAGTATCGGTACCTAGCTCACAGGAATGTGTGGATGCTTAAAGAAGCTTTACATCTTGAGGGGTGTTTCCATTCGAGTTTGGCATACAGAAAAGACCCATGCAGGTGCTAGCTCTTAGAATTTTGTCTAACCACTAATGACCACTTAGCATAATATTTTAGGGTATAGTAAATAAACAGTAACTGGCGGGCGTGGGGGCTCACGCTGTAATCCCAAACACTTGGGAGGGCTGAGGCAGGTGGATCCACCTGACTGTCAAGAGGTTCGAGACCCAGGCCTGACCTAACATGGGAAACCGTCCTACTAAAAATACAAAAATTAGCTGGGCATGGTGACAGACACCTGTAATCGCCAGTACTCAGGAGCTGAGGCAGGGAGAATCACTTGAACCCGGGAGGCAGAGTTGCAATGAGCGAGATGGTGCCTTGCACTCCAGCCTGGGGTGATAGAGCGAGACATCCATCTCAAAAATAAAATAAATCATAATAAATAAATTACTTGCTAATGACGTAGCTGTATTTATTTTAAAATAACTTCTGTGTTTGGCTAGAGGAACTAATGACCATTGATTGATTAAATGTGTGCATATTTCAAAATGTTTTTTAAAAGTACAAAAAGAACCTAGCAATACCTAAAAGTATAACAAATTCACAAAATGCTGAAGAAGTCTTTTGACTATCAAATGATGGCTAATACTACTAAGCTATATAATAATGCTAGGCATAGGGTTAATACTTGCTTAACATTGCATAAAGGAACTCTGAGAGAGTAATAAGAACACTAAGAATGGTGGTTCACGTGTAGGGCATGGAAAGGCTTCTGGGCAGATGGGGACCTGTGTCTATGACTTACAAAGTGTTCTGCTCTCAGTGTGGGTCACTATCGCCCTGTGTATTTTTAGTTTCATTTACTATGAACACACCATGTTAACACACATCCTCCGGCCCTTCGGTCTCACGGTGGGAGAAATAAGTGTCACCGGTGTTTAAAAAGCATCCTATGAATTGATTTCAAATACTCTTAAAGTGACTCCCTTCCCTATGGCTCATAGCAGAGAGCTGCCCATGGGTTCGTGTCTAAGATCAGACACCTAAGACTTCCAGCCATCAGACTAGGAGCCCATTTTACCACTGGGAAAAGCATACACTACACAGATATATATCACCTGAGGTCAGAAGTTATTTTATATATGCATAGTTTTTTTGTTTTCTTTTTTTTTCCTGAGAGAAAGTCTCACTCTGTCGCCGAGGCTGCAGTGCAGTGGCACGATCTTGGCTCACTGCAACCTGCACCTCCCGGGTTCAAGCAATTTTCTTGTCTCAGCCTCCTGAGTAGCTGAGTCTACAGGTGCATCCCACCATGCCCAGCTCATTTTTATATTTCATTTTTAGTAGAGATGGGGTTTCACCATATTGGTCAGGCTGGTCTCGAACTCCTGACCTCAAGTGATCCACCTGCCTCGGCCTCCCAAAATGCTAGGATTACAGGCATGAGCCACTGTGGCCAGCCTAGATGAACAGTATTAAGAACAGTATTGTTCATCAAGTCCAAATGATGTGTCAGGCACCATTCGAATCTCATGTATCTTACTTAACCCTAAAACAACCTCAGGGTCAGATTCCTATGACCATGACCCCCATGAAACAGAGATGTGGAATTGCCCAGGGCACAGAGCCTCCAGGAGGGGGCCTGGGTCAGAGTTCAGAAGGCCTGACAGCAGACAGTTCTTGAACTGCATTGCCTTCCTCCTGTCGGTGATCCAAATCACTGAATCACCTGTTCGCTATTCTTGTTGGATGGCTTTTATTTAGAGCAACGTGGTTCCTGAACAAGATTTCTCATGAGGTCCCGTTAGTGCATCATAGGGTCACGTTAACCAGCGAGTTCCAGAGATTACTGGAGAGCAAGACCTTGAAACATCACCTTTCCAAGGTCTCAAAGGCTTTCAGTAGAAGGAATAGGTTTTTGATCTAATCTCTGCTGTGTCTTTAAAATACTACAGGACAGCTTATCTCTGAAACAGGAAAGTCATATAATTAAGATTTAAAAACACTTCAAATGCAAAATTCTCATTCCGGAAAAAGAACACTTTAAATAGCAAAACGTATAATGCAAATATTGATACCTGTAAACCTGTTGAAAAGTGAGCTTCATCTCTGATTTATTAAACAGCTTCCCAGAGAGATAGTATTCCCAGTCTTCATTTAGTAAGTAGGGTGTATCCAAAACCTGGAACATATTAGGAAGGATTTTCGAAAAATCAGTTTTACACTCGCATACATACTAATATAATAAAGTGAATATTCTGTTGAATATATTTTTTGAAATTTTTCGTAACATTATTTTTCTGGTTGATTTCCAACTTATAACTAGAAAACAATAGTATAATTGGAATAAATCAATTGACCACTGGGTAGCATCAATCAAAATTATTAAAATTACTTTTTTTGAGGACTTTTCTTTTTTTTCAGACAGAGTCTCGCTCTGTTGCCCAGGCTGGAGTGCAGTGGCACTATCTCGGCTCACTGCAACCTCCGCCTTTTGCGTTAAAATGATTCTCCTGTTTCAGCCTTCTGAGTAGTTAGGACTACAGGCGCGCACCACCACTGCCCGGCTAATTTTTGTATTTTTTTTTTTAGCAGAAACAGCGTTTCACCATGTTGGCCAGGCTGGTCTTGACTTCCTGACGTCAGGTGATCCACCCACCTCAGCATCCCAAAGTGCTGGGATTACAGGCGTGAGCCACCATGCCTGGCTGAGAACTTTTTAATCTTTATCTTAATAAAACAAACACATTATAAATAGAAGCAGAGTAGACCATCTGATCAGAAGAGCTAATATACAGCCATGAAGTGGTATACCCAGTGCTGTGCTATTTCTGTCTCTGGACAAAATGTATTAAAATTCACACACTCTCTGCCCCAGCACCCACATATTTAAGATGGGCAAATCAGTGCAGGACCGTGTATGTGCTTGAGAAGTAGAAATGGTTTTGAAATATCCCCTACTTAAGAAAAAGTATCTTTGAATGATTCAACACTCTACAGGAGATAATGATGCCTGGCTTGATGTCTTTGTTTTATCAAAAGGCCAAATGGAGATCATTTGACGCGCTGGTGATCTCAACTTAATCTCCCTCGACCAATGAAATAACTAAAACACCATCACAACAGTATTCACCTGATTTCATAACAGATCTTAGGCGGAAAAATGTATGTACAATGAAAGAGTGAAATATAAATATATTTTAAAAATCAGAATCTGGAGAAAAAAAACACAGAAAAGCCAAAATTAGAAGCCAGACACTTAGAACAAAATTTCCTCATTAATGAAGAAAGCAAAACTGCCAACTGGCCTCCCGGAATCTGTGGGAGTTGGACTGAGAAGGAGAAAGCGAAGCTTGAATTCAGTTCCTGGTGGCACCACTAGACATCTGCCAGGTCAGCCCTCTGTCACGAGACATCCACTTATCAGTCTCTTTCCTTTCAAATTTAGGGCTCATCTGTGTGGACACCTCTGTCACCTGGGAATCTCCCAGGGTGTGTGGGAGGAACCTGGAAACTGATCTTCTGATGTTCCCAGCCACATTTGGAAACCACTGCTGAGGAAAATTCTATTCTCCCCAAATACTGCAATCCACATTGAGGGGCAGGACTTAACTCCCGTCCCTGATTTCACTTATGATCAGAAAATAAGGACACTCCCATATTTTCTTTCTCTTACAAATAAAAAGAATCTATTGCATTTATTGAATATTTAAAAATTTATTAAATTTAATAATTTCAAGAAATTTACTGAATTTAAACCAAACTGCTTATATGTTTGCACTGCTCTTAAAGTAACACACAACATATGAAGAAATCCAAGTTTCTGTTCAAGTCCTTTCATAATGGGTAGAAAATCATATTTACCCGGAATAATTCCTTGCTCGTGTAAGGTTCACAGATCAATTTTTCCACATTTGCACCAAAGACGAAGGTAAGAACCACAATGATCATCAATATCCAGCAAAAGAGGAAACTTAATCCAACTCCACTGGAAAAAAAATATAAGGTTAGTAATTCAAGAAAGAATGATTCAATAGTACCTATTGATACTTACTAAATCTACCTATACTCTATAAAATAGACCTGGGGTCTTCAGTGTTATTCAGGTGAAACAGATCATCCACCTAGGAGTGACACAGGGCTTGGGGACCTGGGAAGGGGCAGCTCCAGGACAGGCGGGGGATCACTGGATAGGGGCCTTGGGGACCCGGGGAGGGGCAGCACCAGGGCAGGTGAGGGATCACTGGATAGGGGCCTGGGACCTGGGGAGGGGCAGCTCCAGGGCAGGCGGGGATGTACTGTATAGGGGCCTGGGACCCACAAGGGGTGGCCAATAAGGGGCTGAAAGCACAGGGGGAGCATAGCCCAACTTCTCTCTGAACAAGAGCACTCTTGGCACAGTGTAAAGGATGGACTGGACAGGTGCCAATGTGGATGGGACATCATTGCAGAGGCTGTTATCATGGCCCATGAGGGTGGCCTAAGGGGACAGGATTGGTGGAGAGTTGGTGGATGATGGTGACGTAATATAGGAGACACAGGAGGCCTAATATAGGAGATAGCAGGACTCGGAAAGCGCTGGACACGAGGACACGAGACGTAGAGGCAAGGAAGAGCTCCTCCAAGGGCAGTGCCAGGGAGCACCAATGCTCTGGAAGGAAAGAGAAGATGGGCTGGATGTTGGTCTTGTTGCCACAGAGACATTGAGTGGAAAGAGTGTGTGGGAGTCAGTATGTTTGGAGCTAAGATATCTGGGTTTCTGATGTACTTAGGGAACCAGCAGCTTAGCCACGGTCATTTATCCCCAGGGCTGGCTTGGAGAGAGAAACAGCCTAGGGCTGGGTCTGGAAGACTTCAACATTTACAAAGACGGGTGGTGGAAGGAGGGCCAGCAAACCAGAACAAGATGATGAGGCAGAGAAGCAGGAAGGCAACCATGTGGGTGTGATGCCACCTAGGGGACAAAAGGAGTGTTTGCAGGAGGAGGGAGTGGTCGGCTGTCAGCAACCAATGTGCTGTCTGCATTGTACAGAGAGGTCACTGCCAACTTAAAACAAGTGCAGTGATGGGGTAGGAAATCAAATTGGAGTGGACTGGGGAGTCAGCAGGAGAGGAGGGCACAGGCAGCAAGCTCAGATCACTCCTCTGAGACCCGGCGTGGGGGAAGGAGAGCTACAGGGAAGAGGCAGTGTGGGTAAAGAGTTTCTGCTTTTATTTCTGAAGAAGGGAAAGAACAGAGCCTGGTTAAGTGTTGAGTGAAAGTCAAGGAGACAGGAAGAGAATAAAGACATGGAAAAGAAAGGGGATGATCCATTTTTATCAGGATCAGGGAAAGAAATGGGATTGAGAATATAGCTGGCGGAATCAGCCTGAGCAGGGAGGAATCCCTCCGCTTCTGGCACTGCAGAGAAGGGAGGGATGTGTTTGGGAGCATGTGTGTTTGGAAGTTTGACGATGGGAAGTTGCATGATGGCTTCTATTTTCTCTGAGAAGAAGGAGGTAAAGCCATCTGCTAAGAGATGGGTGAAGTAGAGGAAGATGGATGTATCAGAGTGAAAAGACTGTTGCAGGAAAGTGTTGGGGGGGTGTCGAAAAAGAAGAAAAAGAGAAAGGGAAGGAAGAAAATGAAATAAAAGATTTATCAGACTATGGCAGGTCCATTTGAGACAGGAGATGCTAAGTTTGTAGGGATACCCAAGGTACCCCGTGCGTAACTTTTCTCTAGCAGTGCTTAGCTGTCTAGGTATAGACAGAGAGAGAGAGAACAAACTCTTAAATCAATCTAGGGGCACTTGCCAAATCAGATACCATCACTGGTGCACACCAGGAAGGAGCCTCAGGAGGGTGTGGGCTGATGCTTGCAATCACCACAGCACCCCCTCCTAAGGGCACGATTCTCCCCTTTGGCTGCAGACACCAAAGCCATAATTACAGTATTTGTGTTTCTTCACTAAAATAAAGAGCAAGTAATGTTCATTGGAAAGGCCTAGGTCAGCCTGACTTTCTCTGACCTACAAGCCTTCTGAGTCTGGGAGAACACAAAGAAGAAGTGAGTGAGGGCCATGCCAGGATCCCCATCTGAGCATGTGTGTCTGTGTGTTGGAGTTAAAAAAACTCATAAAAACTAAGACAGCTGTCTAAAAAGAGCACCATGACTCTTACTCTAAATCGCATACAGTCAACATCTCCAGCCTTTATTTTCTAAATATGCACATTCCTAGATCAGGGGTAGGGGAACCACTGCCTAAGGTCTGTTCTTCTAAGGTTAGTGAGATAATGGCTAATGTGTACTGAAAATATTGAAAAGGATGAAGAGGACAAGGAGAATCAGAGTAAGATGAAAGAGCAAAAGGAGGTGAAAAACAAGAAGAATACGCAACAAAGACTGTATGTGGCCAGCAGAACCTAAAATATTTGTTACTTGGCCCTTCTTGGGAAAAGCTTGCTGACTAACCCCTGACGTGCATAGTTAGGATAATACAAGCATCATTTTCTGACCCCCTTTCAAAAAAGTTTATCTTAGAAACTTTTGTCAACAAATCAGGACAGTCACCCAGTTATCACTTCAGGGGCCATGTGATCTTCCATGCATGGATGTGTCATAACTCACTTGGCCACTCCTCTACAGCCTGGCAGGTAGGCTGCTTCACTATCATAACTGATACTGCAAAAACTCTTCCCAGGCTTTCTTCATAGTTTGGCCTACTTCCTTCACCTAGAGTCCCCAGAATGGAAATTACTGGGCAAAGAGCATCATGGTCTTTTTAGCTATACAGCCTGCCAAACTTCTTTCTGTAACCTCAGAAACTGCCACCAGCCACAGGAATGTGCGCAGTTTGTGATACCTGTGGCTACTCTTGGCATTGTTGTTAATACCTAAAATGGGAAGTTTTATGATGGGCTTCAAAACAAGAGATGCTTGTGCCACTGTTAGATCTCCTTATCTCTGGAGAAGCCTCTCCTACATCCCCTTGCAACAGATAATACATTCACCACTGCATTCTATTCAGCTGCTAAAATGCTCCTGAGGCCAGGGGTAGCAGCTCACACCTGTAATCCCAACACATTAGAGGCTAAGACCAGGGGCTCTCTTGAGACCGGGAATTCAAGACCAGTCTGGACAACAAAGTGAGACTGTCTCTACAAAAATAAAATTAAAATAAAACGCTTCTGGGACCCTCTGAAGATGAAAGATCAGAGCAGAGCCAGGGCTCTCTGACTTTCCTCCTTCCACATCTTTCACTGATATCCTTCTGGGAGATAAGAATTCCTGCTTAGTTTTGAAAGAGACCATGCTCTTGATTGGATGGTGTCACCATTTTTAAAGAGCAGGTGGTGTTTTGGTTGCAACAAAACTACACGTACTCTTTCTGGTTTCTACAAGCAAGTAAACAGTTCTGAAAAAAGAAACTGCGTTCTTCTAATTAGTCTGATTAGACTGATGACGCTCGTATCATCTCCCCCTTTCACAATTATCCAGTTGTTTACCAGATACCTCAAGAAGTAGAGAATTCTGCCAAGCACAGCAAAGCGTGCCGTGCTGACTGGTGGCATTCAACAATAAAGAAATCATAGCCACCCTAAGTCTGCAGACTCCTTGAAATGAATCAAACAACATCTGACAGTTCCCAGCCTTCTTCCTGCTGCTGAGATGAATCCTATGGCCTCCATGCCATACGTCTCCATGTCTATAGAATTAGTGTATCTAAACTAAGGTAGCTTTTAGCCTCCATCAATTTGTTGATGATTTCTCTGTTTTATTTTTTTCTCTTTTTGAAGCTGGATATCACATGTTTTTGGTTGTATGCCTTTAAAAAGCGAATAAAATTTCGATGAGGGTGCACCATTTTTCGAAGCAATTTACCCTACATTTCAAGTAGTTAAAAAGTATGGAAATACATATATATAGACACACACACCACTACAACACTGACAGACAATCAAGTATCAGGGTTGTTACATTTGTAACATTAAACTTAAAATCAATTAAACATTAAAGCAATTACTTTTGCACCAACCTAATAATTTTCTGTTTAATGTATTTTTGTGTATCTGTGTGCATTTGAACAAAAAGGGAAGACAAATTCATTTTTCCTTCTGGATGTGATTTCTCTTTTTTTCTTCTCTGTCCAGAGGTACTTGCAGCTAAGTTCTTTTCTTTTCTTTTCTTTTTTCTTTCTTTCTTTCTTTCTTTCTCTTTCTTTCTTTCTTTCTTTTCTTTTCTTTTTCTTTCTTTCTCTTTCTTCTTCTTCTTTTTTTTTTTTTTTTTTAAGGCAGAGTCTCGCTCTGTCGCCCAGACTGGAGTGCAGTTGGCATGATCTTGGCTCACTGTAACCTTTGCCTCCTGGGTTCAGGCAATTCTCGTGCGTCAGCCTCCCAAGTAGCAGGGATTAAGGCATGTGCCACCATGCCCGGCTCATTTTTGTATTTTTAGTAGACATGGGGTTTCGCCATGTTTGGCCAGGCTGGTCTCGAACTCCTGGCCTCAAGTGATCCACCTGTCTTGGCCTTTCAAAGTGTTGGGATTACAGGTGTGAGCCATCGCGCCTGGACAAAAACAATTTCTTAACTTTGGCCTGTGAGCCTCTAGGCTTCTGTGTGTGTGGAGTTCTTTGTCCAGCCCTGGTAGACCCCAGGTCATTAGCTCTAAGGTTAAGACTCTTGTTAGCAAAGGCCTATACCATACTGGAGCCCAATTATTTTAGGGAAAGGATTTAGAATCATAGCTTATAAGAAGCCTGATTTATTGTTCCAGTGACCCAAAGTTTTGTGTTTGTTTGTTGTGTGTGTGTGTGTGTGTATGTGTGTGACAATTTGGTTTGAAAACTCAAAGTTTTAAAAAACAAATTAATCAAATTAATGCACAGCACCTGCTCTCCAGCCCACTCACTCACAGGCCCGTGTTAGTGACTTAAGTGGATAATGAGAGAACACAACTCAGGTTTTTGTTCTTCACTCCCCAAAGGAATTGTTTCAAACCTTAACCACTGATCTCGAGCCCCATCTCACTCCCTACTGCTGATTCTTCATGATCTTATCCAAAAGAGAATATTGACTCAAAAAGAGATGACAGAATCCACACAGCTCCCTCTCTGCAGAGCATTCAAAGCCATCACACCACATCCTAGCTTACATTTCTGACTCTGGCTCCAGTTGCACCTGGTTCATGCCTGCTATGCTCTGCCGTAGCCATAGAGTCAAAGATTTTTCAAACACATGAACTTGGAGGTGAATGTCTTCAAAGCAGGGACAGTCACTCCAGTCTTCTGCCGCAGGAGTACCTCCCCCTGCTGCCTCACACCTGTTCTCAAGCTTAATCTAGGCTACTTGTCTAAATCCTAAGGGTTCTGGCTTGGCAGCCTTAGTTCTAAATCAAGTTTCTAGAGTTTCAAGCTAGCAATACTGCTAACCAATACTGCTGTCCCACAAGAGATTGGCTCAGCCTCTGGTGAGTAAATGAATGAACGAATGAATGAATAAAAAGAAGGAACAATACAAATCAAGAAGGCAAGCCTGGCTGCTTTTAAAAGGAGCCTGCCATATATAAATAGTGTTCTTAAGTTGGTCTATCAAAATGCAAGTAATTTAGTGTCTTTGTTGTTATTGTCGTTTTCTTTTGTTTGTTGGTTTGTTTTTAATGTTTATGCTTGACAAGAGTACCCAAATCAAGGAAGGTCCAATCATAGCAAGATCTCTCCTCCTCATGACCTGGGAGCTGGAACCCCGCGTACGTGGCCCAGAGGGCACTGGGTTTGTGTAACACCAGAGTCAGCACCCAGTCTCTCTCTTGCATTCCCACCCCCACGTGACAGAGAGGAGCAGGCACTCACACCATGAGGAAGACGCCTCCCGTGTTGGAGACACAGCCTCGGGTGGTCGGGGTGGCATGCCTGTCATAGCCGCACACGCCACACAGTAAGCCCAGGTAGTAAAAAATCACGATGAGGGTCAGCAGAGAGCAGATGACCAGGCCACCCAGCCACCTGGAGAGGCAAGCACAGCGTTAGTATACATGACACGGGCGATGCCACCCTAACACAAAAGTTGCTGGACTGAGGCTGGAGCCGATGAGTTATTCTTGGCTTCTAAAATCAGAGTCTTCTATCAGTTCCTCAGAGGGCAATAATGTTGAATGAAAAGATCCCTTCCCGCCCTTTGTCTTCCAATTCAACCAACAGAGAAAGTTTTATTTTGATCCTAGGTTTGCATTGTTCTTGGCAGTCATGGGATCACTGCTTCCTTGCTGTGCCTTGATTCCCACAGGTGTCACACAGGGTTCATAAGCACAGCATACTGAGCTTCTCCAAGGCTATTGATGAAAACACCCTTAAGATTTTTATGTTCTTTTAAGGTTTCTGATGTTCTAAGTGCCTATTATAATAATGAAGGCATATGGCTAGATCGTGATCAGACTACAGATAAAGAAATACTGGATTCTTTTCCCTGGCCTTTTTCTAAAACATTTTGTGGTTGCAGAAATATTTGGGGCCGCTATATTCTTTACTGAAACAGATTACGTGGCAGATGCATGGGGTATTTAGAATTTTATGAGCATCCTAAATCAAATGCCTGCAGAATACAAATCTCAATTTCATAATGGTCCTGCGAGACATTTTAGGATAATGGATCCTCAATTAGGCCTTACTGGCATCCCCGGAAGGTAGAACAAACTTTCCGGGCAGCAAGAGGCATTCCAGGGTAGTAATGCTTCCCAACATTTAATACACTAAAAAACAAAGAATTTACTTCTGCTGGGTGTCTCTTGACAAAAGTCGCCACTGAAGCTTTTCATTCAATTAAGAGCAATCTCAGTAATTATAGTAATAGCCACAGGCAACCATTCTGGGGAGGTTTGTTCCAGACAGTGAGGGCACAAAATTAAGTAAGTCACGGAGGCTGGCCTCAGAAAACTTTTAGAGTTAAAGGAGCATCTGCTCAGTTGATTTTCTTTTTAAGATAAGCTCATGGTGTCAGGGCAGGGGAAAAAGGAAGGGAGATGGATGGCAGTCAGGTAGACAGGTAATGGTGCTATTCTTTCTCGTTTGTGAAGCTCTGATCTTTAAGGAAATTATGAGTTCATTGAGAAAGGGTCTGCCTTCTGTTTTTTCTGAGACTTGCTGGGGTGGCCCAGTCCCACAAGGGAATCATGGCAGGTGCCGCCTGGAGCTTGTTGTTTGTGTGGCAATGACAAAAAGCAGAGCCAGATGGAGCTTCAAAACCCACCTCCGCTGTATGCTAGCCGGCCTTAAGGAAGTCACTTCACTTCCCTGAGCCCATCTCCTTGTCTATAAAACAGGGTTATAAATGGAACACAGCCCAGGGAATTTTTGAGAGGATTAAAAGAAATGTCATGCAGAAAGTGCTTGGTGGGCACACTGAAACTGTCTCTTAAATGGTATCAATTGCTATACTTTTTAAAATTTTTTTAAAATTTTCATTTATTTATTTTTGAGATGGAGTCTCGCTCTGTCGCCCAGGCTGGAGTGCAGTGGTGCGATCTCGGCTCACTGCAAGCTCCGCTGCCTCCTGGGTTCATGCCCTTCTCCTGCCTCAGCCTCCTGAGTAGCTGGGACTACAGGCGCCCACCACCATGCCTGACTGAATTTTTTTGTATTTTAGTAGATACGGGATTTCACCGTGTTAGCCAGGATGGTCTCGATCTCCTGACCTCGTGATCCGCCCGTCTCGGCCTCCCAAAGTGCTGGGATTACAGGCGTGAGCCACCGTGCCCGGCCAATTGCTATAATTTTAATTACGTATCTTGTGGTCTTGTATAAGAAATAATCTACATGAGAATGAGTCTCCGGACTCTCCATGGGCTTGGGAGATATGAAGGGTGGCTGAGCTCTTCAGAGACAGAAGTGCATCTTACATAATAGATGATCCTCTAAATTTCTTGATCCTCCAAGTCCTTCCCTCCCCAGGGCTCTGGCTGGGATGTCCACCACCCTCACCCCAGGCCAAACCCCACCACTCACATTTTCTAATGGGACAACCAGTGGGCACCACAGCTGCTCACCTAAGCTCTAGGAGCAATTCACTGGTTTCAAAGCACAGCTAAGAAAAGGATGCTCTTTCAGGAAGAACCAACCTCTGCATATTTATTTTATAAACCAATGTTTATATTGGTTTATAAAATAGAAAAGGATATTTCCCAGATGTCCTTCTTAATTACTTTTAAGCTTTAAAATCTCATTACATGCCTAGTTTGATAATTATAACCAGTATTCCAGAAACCACTAATGACATCAAAGTTGCAAATTATCAAATATTTGGCTCACGAAGGTCCAGTCTTCAACTTAAAAAAAAAAATGTGGACCGCTTTACAAATTTGCCTATCATCTGTACACAGAAGTCATGTGAACCTTCTCTGCATTGTTTCAATTTTAGTATATGTGCTGCCTGGTCTAAGCGAGCACTTCAACTTTTTTAACAAACATAAACTGGGGTTAACATATATCAGGCCATGACCTTGTACAATTTGCTGTCATAAGATGACCCTGGTGCTAATGTCAGATTTTTTATCTTGTTCTCTACAAAGTTCACTCTCGTAGTTCACCAGCTCCAAGGAGACACTCACCAGTATGAATCATACTCTTCCAATGTAGGTAAATTTCTGTGGATGTAACTTTCAGTGTTATTAACATAAACAGAGAATTCTGAGAGTATATCCTGAATAGGAAGATGCTGAGTTACATTGTCGATATCCGAACCAATGGAATTCAAGACCCTTTTGATACCTGAAAACGAAGATACCTTTGTTATGCGTTTGCAAACATGGAGGAAATAGAATCTTTGTTTTGGAACCAAACAGAAAAGCCTGAAGCACCTTTAGTTTTTCTCACATTATGTATGTGTTTAAAATATGATCAGATTCTACAACAAGCATTGAATATAGCCAAGACCATCGAAAAGCAATTACTTAACAACAAAACAGCAAGCTGTGAGGACTGACTTTAATGAGATGGTATTGAAGTCAAGCCAGTTTCTTTCTTCTACTTACTTTACTTAAAGTAGATCAAGTGATTAAAATGTATGGTGTGCAGACTATGTGCCAGGCACTTTTATAAATAGTAACTCATTTATTTCACTGAGGTAGATATTCCCATTCCCCATTTTACTAACAGCGACCCAGAGACTCACAGAGATTCAATTAATTGCCCATGGGTCTTTTAAAAGAAAGCTCTGGTAACGGGATCGAAACTTGGGTTTATCTGACTCTAAAGTCCTCATTACATGCTTTTGGGAAAATAATTAAATAATAACAATAATTTCTCCATCTAAGAAATGGTATTCAGGGCCGGGCACAGTGGCTCACACCTGTAGTCCCAGCACTTTGGGAGTCTAAGGTGGGAGGATCACCTGAGGTCAGAAGTTCGAGACCAACCTGACCAACATGGCAAAACCCCATCTCTACTAACAATACAAAAATTACCCAGTTGTGGTGGCACACGCCTGTAACTCGGGAGGCTGAGGCAAAAGAATCACTTGAACCTGGGAGGCAGAGGTTGCAGTGAGCCAAGATTGTGCCGTTGCACTCCAGCCTGGGCCACAGAGCAAGAGTCACTCTCAAAAAAAAAGAAAAAGAAAAGAAAAAGAAAAAGAAAGAAAGAAAGAAAGAAAGAAAGGAAGAAAGAAAGGCAGGCCTTCAGGAATGGAGTAATTCTCAAGGCCCCATTTAAAAACCAAGCAAACAAACAAAAAACGCAAGTGACTCTGGGTGATATTTTTGTTAAAATTTTACCTGACTGATACAAATTGAGACTTCTTAGGAAGTACGTGTCTTTTCTATTCAAAAACCAATAGTAGTCTCAGTGGCCAGTTTCCTTTGCTATCAGTCTTAATATCTCAGACAGGAGTTAAGTTCAAAGAAAACCAGTTTTCTGGAGAGTGTCCATCACCACAGGTCCTAAAATCGAACTCACCTGGGGTGCAGGATTTCACCTGAACCAGAGCTTACATAAGTTCTGAAGGTGGCTGTATCCAAGTGATTCTTCACCTGGACATACTAAGAACACACTAATCAGTTAAAAGTCCACTGATCCTGCAAGAGAGGTAAATCTCTTTGCAGCAGGAGAGACAAGATTAGCAGTTCTCAAAATATTATCCTGAGGCTCCCGGTGAACTTTAGGTAGAGAATAGAGATGGTAGCTTGGTTCAAAATGTAATCACATAAAAATGGCAGGAAACTTTTGTTTTCTTTTTGATACAGGATCTCTCTGTATTGCCCAGGCTGGAGTGCAGTGGCATGATCATGGCTCGATGCAGCCTCAACCTCCTGGGCTCAAGGATCCTCCCACCTCAGCCTCCCAAATAGCTGGGACTACAGGTGTGTACCACCATCCTCAGCTAATTTTTTATGATTTTACTTTTTGTAGAGATGGGGAGATGGAATCTCACCATGTTGCCCAGGCTGGTCTTGAGCTCCTGGCCTCAAGTTATCCTCCTGCCTCAGCCTCCCAAAGTGCTGGGATTATAGCAGTGAGCCACCACACCCGGCCCTGGAAACTTTTTTAAAGTTTGTTTTTCACATAGCTATGACATCTAGAAATCAAAGACACAGAAGCAAGCAACAGAGTGTCAGGTGTTTGGATGTGACTCGTTAAGAAAGGACTGTTACTCCTTGGGGCTCATTGCTCGTGTGTGAAAACACCTGAGGATCCTTGGCCAAAAATGACTCAGTGGGTCTCTTGGTTACTTTTGGGATTTTGAGAGATGGGGAAGGCAGCCTTCCCGTCTTCTAGGAGCAGCTCCTAGGGCCTGTGCCTGCTTCTCAGCCTGGCTTGCCCTCACACAGGACACGGCTCCATGACTTTGCTGCTTTGGCGACTCTCTACGTGACTGGTACCCTCTCTTATCATATACCCTCTTCAAACCTCTCTCGATGTCCCCTTTTCCAGGCAGCCTCCCACTAGCCTCTCCTCAACTTGTTTCCCTGGCACCAACCTGGTCATGGTGCCAGAGTGTGACAACAAGTTTGTGTACACATGGCTGACTAAAGGACAAGAAGAACTCATGGCTTATGCATCTCACAGCCCAGTGCCTGGCAGAGCCTGGCACAGAGTTGGCACTAAATAATCTGTTCAGGTTGGGATGAGAGCTAAGGACATGAAACTAAACACCTGCTACCCAGGCTGACAGAGCGGCACTGACCCGGCTCTAGGAAAACACTGGCTTGTGCTCAGGCAATGGCACCATGCGCCATGGGCCACACTCAACGCACGCAGCACACTTTGCTGTGTCAGACTTACAAGGAAGGGCTGCACGTATGGGCAGGAGAGGTCCAGAGAGGGGAAACCAAAAAATTAAACACAGAGATTAGTGAGCAGGTGACTGTCAGACGTAGAGCATGCATCAGCCTTCAGAGGTTAGCACACGAAAGTCTGAACCCTGTCCTTAATATGTTAATATTTTAAAGTAGAATCTTATACTATACAAAAGGAAACCCACAAAACATCTAAAGTGTTATGTAGCAAGATAAAACACTTTTTTACTCAAACTCTTCACGGGTCAAAAAAACACTATTAGGGAAAAATAATCAGGTATCTCTAACATAACATTTTAAAACCACTTACTCAACAGATAAAAGCAGCACCAAATTGATTTTTCAAAGAAATAGAAGATAGCTTTACATAGCTTCAGAGATTTCTTTTCTTTTCTATTCTTTGTTTGTTTGTTTGTTTGTTTGTTTTTGAGAGAGTCGCGCAGGCTGGAGTGCAGTGGCTAGATCTCGGCTCACTGCCACCTCCACCTCCTGGGTTCAAGTGATTCTCCTGCCTCAGCCTCCTGAGTAGCTGAGGTTACAGGGGTGCACCACGACGCCTGGCTAATTTTTGTATTTTTAAGAGAGATGGGGTTTCACCATGTTGGCCAGGCTTGTCTCAAACTCCTGACCTCAGGTGACCTACCCGCCTTGGCCTCCCAAAGTGCTGGGATTGCAGGCATGAGCCACTGCACCCAGCCCAGAGATTTCTTCTTCAAGCAAATAACCCAGGTTTGTCTCTATCATTGCACAAAGAACTGCTACCACTGCATTCTCTCCCTCTGTACGTTCACCCCAAATCCCATAACCCAAATACAGCATGATTCAGTAATTTGAGTAGAATCCTCTCCACATTGATTCTGTCTCTCCAAAATTGTAAGCAACCTTAGGAGCCTAAAATACTATTGCCTCAGCGTCAATGGACAGATTAAAATCTTCCTAACGACAAAATAAATCCTTTTATACAGTATTCCTTTTAAAAGTTGGATTTTAAGTTTGTCTAGAAAATATAATAATCTTCAGTTTTTCTCTTCAGTGAAAATCAGAATGAGTTTCCCAACTGTGGCTGCTGTAAGGTCTCAAGGCACACACTCTAGGGACCTGGATTACACTCTGGCTCTCAACCATGTGGCAGCTGCCGGCTGGGCCGAATGATGTTTATCAATGTTCAACAACAGGTTTGTTCTTGTTTTTAAGTCACCGAATGAAGTGACACAGTTGTAAAGCTCTGATACTCATTTCGTTTTGACAGTTTTAATGAGAAACTGTTTTTTTTTTTTTTTAAAAGGAAAAGAACAATGCAATACTTGGCAACACGTTTCTCTGTACTGACCTTCCAAGCAGAGAGACACAAAATCACCTCAAACTGTGAATCTCACCTGCTATGACGGTCTTGGTTTGGCTTTGCACTCTGTCAGGTATGTCATTAAGGGATTGATAGCCCTGAAAAACATTTCAAAATAAATGGATGTACACGGTAAGTTGAAGACTAGTTGACTAGTCACTCATTTTGCAACTTAGTACGAGTAGAGAGGCAAAATAAAAATATAACATTCATCTTAAGGTGAAATGATCATTGTATGGTCATCAAGAGTCTAAAAAAATCCCCTTTAAAGAGCATCGTCTTTAAATTATATCAATCAAAGATCATGTTAGAAATTTTTCATATGGGGGTCCCCATAATTTTAAAATCAACGTATTTACACAGAGCCTAGGTACTATTATGGGCACATATATCTATACATACATATATATATAGTATACATATATACTCCCAGTGGTTCTCAACTGGGAGAATTTTGTTCTCAACTGGGGTATGTTTGGCAAAGTCTGGAGACATTTTGGTTATCACAGTTGTGGGGTGCTGCTGGGATTGTGGGGGGAGAGGCCAAGGATGCTAATAAATACCCTACCATGCACAGGAGAGCCCCTACTGCCGAAAGCCATGCACGGTGTCAGCAGTGCTGAGGTTAAGAGATTGTACCTGATCGGTACAATATCGCATGTGCAGAGAGAAGGTGAATTTCTAAAAACAGAATCTTACTTTCTAATTAAAAATAAAATTAGAGATATAGTGTAACTGAAAAAAAAATTTATATATATATATATATCCCAAAGCATAGCTTACAGAGGATACAACTGTGGTGAGGATAGAACAGAGAAAAAACAACCGTGCCAAGTGATAGGGCTTTGGGGCTACTAAACCCCTATGACAGGGAAATATCATTATTTCCAAATAATTCAACTAAACGTCCAGCCTTTCCTCTGGAAGGGGTTTGGTGAGTGTTTCTTCACCGTCTGCTGGTGTACTTAGCTGTCTGCCAGGGAAAAGTACAGCACTTTCAACCTTCATAAGATTTATGGTGCCAGCCAGTTTCCACCTTAGCCTAGCTACATCAGAATGAATGAACATCATGACTTACAAAATGAACATCATGGCTTCTGTTTCCTCCAAGGAGACTAAGCTAGTGAGCACGCCAGTGCTTGTGTTGGTTTCTGTGTGCCTGACTCTTTGACATTCATCTGTGTCTGGACTTGCAGATGCCACGGGGGATTTCACAGCTGGAAAGTGTCTTACAGATCTCCCGGTTCAATGCCTTCTTTAACAAATGAAGTAACACCAGAGTGCAAAGACCAAGAAATTTTGAATAACTTGTTTAAGGGCCACTTACTTTGTCAGTAAGTGTCTAGTAAACATATGTAGACAAGTGTTTAACCCACTTATACTGAAGGCTGCAAATATTTTTTGTGAAAAATCAGAACCTGGTGATGACATTTGGCAGTAGGATATAAATAACTCCCACGAGCTTAGCGTTCCAATAATGGAACACTAAGCATAAATGGGTTAATAGAGATCTGAGATGTTTTTACATCCATGCTAAACGACAGAGTCAAGAATAAAACTATCCTCTCATTTTCCCATAGGCCCAGGCACTCTACTGAACCATAATCTAAAAAGAAATACGTATTGCATATTCAGTATCTATTGGTTGAATAAACAGCAACATTTAGTAAGCTACTGGGGAAATCAGGGAATTCCAGACCAATGCTGTCCCTGCCTTTTTGGGGGTTTACAGTCCAGTGGTGGGAAGGGAGACATTAAAGAAATAATTACAGTTATGAGGAAATTAACAGAGAATATTTGCAATGCTGCAAGAATGTATTAAAAAGGGTTTGACCTAGTCAAGAAGCCCAGGAAAGGCCTGTTAAGAAGGTGATATATGGACTGGGCGTGATGGCTCATGCCTGTAATCCCAGCACTTTGGGAGGCCGAGGTGGGTAGATCACCTGAGGTCAGGAGTTCAAGACCAGCCTGGCCAACATGGCGAAACCCCGTCTCTACTAAAAATACAAAAATTAGCTGGGTGGGGTGGCACATGCCTGTAATCTCAGCTACTTGGGATGCTGAGGCATGAGAATTGCTTGAACCTGGGAGGCAGAGGTTGCAGTGAGCTGAGATCATGCCACTGCACTCCAACCTGGGCAACAGCACAAGACTCCATGTCAAAAGAAAAAAAGAAGGTGATATATGAAGCTTAAAAAACTAAGTAGTGGCCGGGTGCGGTGACTCATGCCTGTAATCCCAGCACTTTGGAAGGCTAAGGGGGCGGGGGGGCAGATCACTTGAGGTCAGGAGTTCGAGGCCAACCTGTCCAACATGGTGAAACCTCATCTCTACTAAAAATACAAAACTCAGGCAGGCATGATGGCACAGAGCTGTAATCCCAGCTACTCAAGAGGTTGAGGCAGGAGAATCGCTTGAACCTGGGAGGCACAGGTTGTGGTGAGCCCAGATCGCACCACTGTACTCCATCCTGGGTGACAGAGGGGGATTCCATCTCAAAAAATAAATAGATAGATAGATAGATAGATAAAATAACTAAGTAGCAAGGCTACTAGGAGGGAGGAAAAGAAGAGAGTGCCAAGCAGAGGGAAGAGCGTGTGCAAATGCATGAAGGTGGGAAAGAACAAAAGGAAAACCAGTATAGCTGACTCACTGGCACAGGGGGACAGCATTCTGTATTAGAATCAGTGTGGGGTTCAGCATTACACCCACTAAATTCTGAGGCCTAGGAAAGCAGAGGTCATGTTCTTCTTGATCTCTCATGGTCTTAGCATGCCACTTCACACATCACAGGTGCTTAACAAAAATCCTGGGAGCTGGAATGGTGAACACGATTGCCTGGAAGGTAATAGCTATCACCCTTCTTGGTAACCCTTCTCTGGAATTTCACTGTTTTGCTGTTTCCCACTTTCTTACGTACTAGTCCACCCTTTAAAATTATATAAAATCAGTGATTGTAGTCCACCCTTTAAAATTATATAAAATCAGTGATTGTATTTTTTCCAAAAAACATACCTGTTGGACCAGGCCATCCAAATCTGTCCTAAGAACGTTATTAACTTTGTCAAGTTCTGCATCCACAGGTGGAAGCTGAAAATTTATAAAACGAAATATAAGACGAGGTTGTTACCTTCAAAACAACTCCTCATGAAGAAAGAAGTCATTGTATATCCAAGTCCCAAAGCGTCTATACTATAGGGTACAATCTCAGTTTCTTTTGAACAATAGAGTTTTATTTGGGAAAAACACAGCTCAGACCCTCCTTGACAAGCACTAATTTTTTTGATGTCTGGAAGTCTCTAGCTATAATCAGCTAAAAAAATAAGGCAAAGAAATTTAACACAAATGTAATATATATGACTTCACAATTTCAAATACTAAACATTGTTCAATAAAATTGTAAACAACCTTTTTAAAGTCATGTTTAAAAGCAATGTAGTCAGTGGTTATATTAGTGAGTAATCTGGAATAGTTTTTCCACTTACAGCATTATACATGGATTTGAAGTACTCTGGCTCTTACCAACACTGGGACAAACATCATACGCCTCTCACATGATGTCCAAGAACATAATATCACTACTGTGATATTTCCCTGGCAAATATGAGTAACTTTAATCCCAAGAAAACATCAAACAACCCTAAACTGAAGACCATTCTACAAAGTAAATGGCCTGTTCAAAAATGTCTGTGTCACAAAAGAAAAGACACACTTAGAAACTGTTCCAGATCAACAGGAATGAAAGAGACATGACAATAAATGACAATGTGTAATCCTGGCCTGGACCCGGGACTGGAAAAAAGAAGATAATTATAAAATGCGTTTTTGGAAAGATCAACATTTGAATGGACACTGTGGATTAAATGGTAGTGTTGGGTCAATGTTATCCTAATTTTGATCATTATATAATGATTATGTAAAGTTATGAAGTACAATAAAATATTTAGGGGTAAAAAGGCATGATGATGCCTACAACATATCCCCAACTTACCTTTTGAGAAAAAAATGCATATTATTTTATGAATGTATATATTAAATGATATGAACAGACAGATAAACTGATAAAATATGATAAAGCAAATGGTGCAAAATGGTGACCCTTAAAGAATGTGGACAAAGGGTGTGTGAACAAGGATCCGTGCATTCATCTTGCAAGTTTTCCACGTTTGATACAACATTAAAAATAAAAAGTGCCCCCTAAAAAGGATCTATCTCAAACAACTCAGAGGCAACTAAGCTCTAAAAAACTGTTCAATCAAAAACAATTACAGTGATATCCAGACACAGATGTTGCAGGTGAAGTGTTTGAAAAGCAATGGAATGAAATGTAAGAGTGAGAAAAAGTATATCCATACTAAAATGTTATTTTATATAAAATGTGAGGTGTCCGGGCATGGTGGCTCATACCTGTAATCCCAGCACTTTGGGAGGCTGAAGCAGACAGATCACTTGAGATCAGGAGTTTGAGACCAGCCTGGCCAATACAGTGTAACCCCATCTCTACTAAAAATACGAAAATTAGCCAGGCGTGGTGGTGGGTGCCTGTAATCTCAGCTACTCGGGAGGCCGAGGCAAGAGAATCACCTGAACCCGAGAGGTTGGAAGTTGCAGTGAGCTGAAATGGTGCCACTGCACTCCAGCCTGGGCAACACAGTGAGACTCCATCTCAAAAAAAAAAAAAAAAAAAGTGAGATGTGTATCTAACCAAATAAGTTAGACATCATTAATAGACGTGGCCATTTTACCTACGTCTCAGAACTTTATATAACCCAAGTTGTTCCAAATTCTTTTTAAAAAATCTTTTCTTTGGGAAAATGGGAGATTTTTCTTCTATTTCAGCATACGCAGTTAATAGACTAAGCACATCATTTAAAATATTTTTTAACTCTTAAAGGTCTACATGAATATATTGTTTCCTTTTCTCCTTGTAAAGCTGAATTAATTCTGATGTGTTCATTCAGTGGCAGAGAACTCCCACAAAGCGGTTCCCTTTTACTCCTTTGTTCCTGCTGTGGTCATTCCAATATGGCGATCAAATGACTCAAGAAGGGTGACAGAGGCCAGGGGCTAACCGTTCTTCAAGTCAGGCCACCGTGCACTGGATAGGTCACCCTCGCTTAGCCCTGCCTGGCAGTCCCCAGCATGCAGCCCTTGACCATGGCAAACTCATGCCTGCTCACTCACCTGCCTCAGTTCAGGGTTGCTATTCAGCTGGCTTAGAGACAATCTGATGCTGTTGCAGGTTTCACTTGATGGACGCACTGAGCACAGAGGGTCATTGAGAGATGCCCGCAGGCTAGTTTTCACGCTGGTCAGACTGCTGCTAAGCTGTGTACTTTGTTGGTGCAAGCTCTTCAAGGTGCTGTTCATGTTCTCCAATGCCTCTTTGGTCTCTTTGATTGCTGTAGAAACACAGCCCACTTCAGAACAGACATGCCAAGTCCTTCCTCATCTACAAAAGTGTGTCTAAACGGACGTGGGATGGACTGGTAAATGACTTTAGATGGCAGTGAGAGGGACACAGTGCAAGGGGCAGCCTGAGGGGAATACAGGAGCATCGCTAGGCTGCTCTAACAGCTGCTCCAACCAGCTCTGCTCTCCCGCTTAGGGTCTCTTTCCAACAAGAAGCAGGGGGGGGCAAGCACCAACCCAGGAGCGTGATGGGGACACCTCGATGCGGCATTAACTGGCCAGCAGTGGTCAGCAGAGTCGTCACCACCCAGCCTCGAAGAGGTCAGTCCAAACAAGTCAATCCTAGCAGTTTAAATGCACATCAAAATGGATTACATCCAGACATATTTTAGCTCTAATTATTCTAAGAGTTGGAATCAAAACGAGCACAGTAGTTAAGAGCACGGTTTTAGATTGAGGCCAGTCTAGGCATGGATCTCAGCTTTGCTATGTGCTGTGCGACTGAAAATAGACTCCTGAACCACTCTGAGCCAATTTCCTCATCTTCAAGTACAGAAACACCACCACGTTCATCATGCAACAGGGGGGTTAGATCAGTCAGATGAAAATGCCTCAAAGGCAGTGGTCTATCTGTTTAATTTCAGAAGCCCCACCCCCTAAGACACATTCTTATACAGACAGTACCCAACTCACAATAGTTCAATTTATGATTTCTCAATTTTGTGATAGTAGAAAGCTGTATGCATTCAGTTAAAATCGTACTTCGAATTTTGAATTTTGAACTTTCCCAGGCTAGTGATGTGTGGTAGGATACTCTCTTGCAGCAGCGAACCACAGCTGCCAGTCAGCCATGCAACCAAGAGGGCAAACAATGCATATTCTACAGTGTATTAAAAGCATTTTCAACTTACAATATTTTCTCTTCACCATGGGTTTATTGGGATGTGACCCCCATCGTGTATGTGGAGGGGCATCTGTACTAGGAAATCCAGAATAATTGTTTGCTATCATGATTTATCTGGATGGTGGAGCTACCTATACATGACTAGGACGGTAGGGAATTACAACTTTTTTCTATAGTGGCTTAAAGCCACAGCAGTACAAGATGTGAAATTTAAATTAGAAGGCATTGCTCTTCTTCTAAGCAAATAAATCTTCTTGGTCAGGTCTTTGCTCTGTGGCTCACGGAACAGATGGTTGAGGATCAAGCTGCAATTGGGTGTTTCAAGGAAAAGTATGAATGCCCTTAAAAACTGGCTTCCACATCCTTTCCTGGCAGCCACATAACAGATAATACTTGAGTGTTAAACACACACACACACACACACACATTTTAAAAATGTTTTCATGTTGAGTCTAGCCAAAAGTAACCCGAGGTTGCATTCCAGTTCTGCTTCTATCCTGCTACAGCACATCTGGCAAACTCTCACTTCTCAGGACCTCAGTCTCATCTATAAATTAGGGAGTGGGTTGGGTCACCTCCTGGTTACTAGAAGAATCTGATTCCAGGCTGTGCCCTAATAGCTTGTGGGGCTGACCTCTTAGGAGATGGTCTCCCCCATGCTAACTAGGTCTGGTTAGATACTGCAACCTAGTACCCAGAGACCTGGGGAGGCTTCCAGAATTGAACTGTATCTTCCTTGGTCTCAAATTTCTATCACTTTACCTGAATAGAAAATCTTAAACTCTGCTTCAAATAGTATTTTCTCTTGAATTTCAGTCTAATCATAGCTTAACAATATTTAAGATTATAATAATATTTAGGACTATCAAAGAGCACCCTGGGTATCAGTTTTTCATCTCTCCCACCTATCATCCAGTATTGTCGGTGAAGCATAAAGCCTGGTATCTGGCTCATAGTAGAAGCTCAATAAATATTAACCACAGCAAAACAAAAAAGAACTCAGCTGCAACCCGAAATACACAGTAGTACCCCAGAAATACACAGAAATACACCAAAATACACCAGAAATACATAGAAGAACACAAAAGAGCAGGCTAAAACACACTTCACATTTTAATGTTCCGTGGTTTACTCCTCACAGTCCTTTTCTCTTTGACTTCAAGATAAATTATCTTAAGGCAAGAACCACCACCACCACCACCACCACCACCACCACCAACAACAACAACAACAACAGAGAATGACAGGTGACAAAATAAAAGCATGGCCCAGGAAATGTGTATTAAGCACTGTTCATAGCCATTCTAGGCTATGGATAATACTCTGTCATGTCACAGGGAGGACTCAGAAGTGATAAATACATGTTTTCCAAAAGCTTCAAAGTGTTTTATGTCTATAAACTATTAACTGGGTTGTAACTCTGGGAGTCAGTCCAGGCCCAGCATCATCATATATATTATGTATCTGAAGAAAGTGGAAAAGCTATCTGAGGTTCTCAATTTTAGTGAATTACCATTTTACCAGCCTATAGTATATTTCCTTTATAGGTCCTGATCTGCAGTCCAAATATGATTTGTACACCAAAACAATGGCATGTTTCTGTTCTCTCCAAAACCCACTAAACACATAGGGCTGCAAAGCATTTTTAGCAAACAAACAAACAAACAAAAAAAGAACTTTAATAATAACACACAAGGCACTGAAGAGAAAAAGAGAATCTTTGAATCATCTTTTACCTAAAAACTACTATAATTCAGTTACTAAAAATTGCAAGAACATTGGGCAAAAAGTAACAACTACTCCAACGCATCAACCACAGTGCATCATTCATATACTTTTGCCCAGCCTTCACCATTACTTAATTTGGGGCTGGAAGAGACCTTGGATCTCTTCAATATTGCAAACATAATATATGTGATCTCTTCAACATTGCAGTCACATACTATATGTGATCTTCGTGGGCCTGGAATGACTCCCAGAGTTACAACCCAATTAATATGTTATAGACATAAAATACTTTGAAGCTTTTGGAAAACAAAAAGATCTTATTCAATATTGTGAACGCACTGATGCACGAGGGATTCAGGCTGCAGGGATGCCTGGCATCATCTATGGCCATGTGAGCACTGGAATCCCAGATTTCCAATTCTCCCTCCAGAGGTGCACGTGTTGCCTCCTTGTGGATGTCGCCACAGCACCCTCCATCTTAATACTCTTCAAGGTACTAAGTCCCATCTAGGGTGGTCCAGGTAACACAGGCTCTTGCTAGAACAGGGTCTGAATCCCAACTCCACCACTTCGCAGCTAACCAATTGCTATGGACTAATATGTCTCCCCCAGATTCATATGTTGAAGCCCTAATTACTGATGTGACCTTTAGGTGGGTAACTAAGGTTAAATAAGGTCATAAGGATGGGTCCCTAATCCAACAGAACTGATGTTCTTACGAGAAGAGGAAGGGACATCAGAGATGAGTGTCCCAAAATGGAAGTAAGACTGGAATGATGGACAGTGGCCAGGTGTGCAAGGAAGAAAGGAGTAGGGGAGGGAGGGAAGGAGAAAGGAAGGAAGGAGGGAAGAAGGGAAGGAGGGAAAGAAAAAAAGAGAGAGAGGGTGGAAGGAAAGAAAGAAGGAATGGAGAAACCATGTGGAAAAAGCCAGGACAGGAAGGCAGGAGGCAATGGTCTCTGAGGTCATATCCCTTCTCTGGGTCTCCATTTCCTTGCCTGGAAAGAAAATGCTTGGTGATGAAGAGAAGAGATGTCTAGAGAAATCTAAGGCATCAACAACAGAGGATGTTGTTTGTGATGTTATTGTCGATGTTGAGAATGTTGTCGTTGGCTGGACCCTTTGCAGGGTCAAGGAGAAAGGGAAGGAAAGGCCTTTCAACTAGTTAGGACTCATCTTAACAACTCCTGGCCTGTTCTGCACGTCCTCCTGTTTCCACACATTCATCTCAGTTGTTGAACTATAAGGCATGCCAAAAGGAACGGGAATACTTTTCCAATTTCTACACAATTATCTTCTTTACGGACTACGTTCTCAGGGATGCTAGCTCATGAAAGCAAAATTCATATTGGCAAAATGAGTGTTTTACCTAGATGTAATTGTCGTCTCCAACAAGTACCTCGCAAGGACATTTTTCTCAACATTTGGAAGGGCCTGGGAGGTCTTTTTTCATTACAGTAGAGCATGCAGTTTATCTGTCACTTATATCATTGACCATGGAGGCTTAAGATATATATGTATATTCCTTGCTTCTAAGTTTCACTTTCAGGAAGGAAAAATGAATCAATTTCCCTCAGATGACCTAAACGTCTATAGGTTCCTCATCTTCTGTATCAGAGTCAACAAACTTTTTCTATAAACGGCCAGATAGATGGTAAATATTTTAGGCTTTGTGGGTTATACTATATCTCTTCCAATGACTCAACTCTGCCATCAGAGCATGAAAACGGCCACAGATGATATCTAAACAAATGCAAATGGCTGTGTTCCAATAAAACTGTGTTTACAAAAACAGGTGGTGGGCCTCTAAGAAATTCTGCCCCTATCATCTGAAATGGCAACACCTTTGGCACAAGCTTTAATAAAGAGCACAACCAAGCTATTGCAACACAGTGTCTTGACCTGAACTGTCTACATGGCCACGGACGGTGGCTCTCCCCAAGACAGCTCTCAGGGAACAAGAAAAGAGTAAGCAAGTCTGCCGAGCCCAGGGACTCCTGGATGGAACTTTCTTTGGTCATTTTTGCCCGCTGCTTACCTGTTGCCATGGACTTAATCTCATCAAGAACAGGGATGATGTTGGGCCTCAGTCGGTCAAGAATTCCGCCTCCTAGCACTGAATTGATACCTACATGCAAATAAGCACAGGGATGGTGAGGGTGGCCTCTGCTCATCTCTCCACCCCACCCTCATTCTCTCCACACTGCCTCAGCCTCTCCTGCTGCAAAACCCATTTGCATCCTGGACCCTGTCTAGGGGTGGACTCGTGTACGGAGATTTCTCTTCAGGGTCTCCGCACCAACTGTTCCCCAGTGAAAAATTAATCACTAAGACTCACAGACCCGGTATTTACTTAAACCAGGAACATGGTGTTATCATCTTGACCTGTGTGTAACTCCCTCTGTATCTAATCTCTTTGACTAGACCAGAGTTCCCACGCAGACTGCACTCTGGTGGGGGCTGTCGTGAGCATTATGGGATGCTTAGAGGCATCCCTGGCTTCACCCCACATTTACTCATTGTGACAACCGAACATGTCTCCAGATGTCACCAAACATGCCAAACGTCACCCCCCAGTTGAGAAGCACTAAGCTAAACCTTGGCGTGCAGGGCTGAGCCCTCTCCATCCAGCCATTTCTGAAGCCACTGGCTTCTCTGAGGAGCCGGCTGTGTCTGTGCAGGGCACCTGGTAGGATAACAATCTTTCCCTCATGAAGGAAACGGAGAATGAGCGCTTGTGACTACAAGAATGCTAAAGCTTTCCAGTAAGTGTAAAATGAAGAAACAGTCTTCATTTTGCCTGTGACATTCTTCATGCTGCCTATGAAACAGATGCCTTCGATGAGGGCTAGATTCTAATCGCTGAGTAACAAATGACACATCGGCAATAAGGCTAGGGAATCCTCTTTCTGTCTTCCCCCAACTTTCACGTATGTCATTTCTTAGTCCGTGTTTTATGGGAGATGAGTCAAAACAAAGAAACCAAAAACATATGAAGCAACTTTAAATTGTACTCACTGTTCAGATCTGAGAACGCCTTGTCCTTGGTAGTGTTGTACTGGGCCAATATATATTTGATTTGCTGAAAAAGAACATTCTGTGAAACCTTCCCTTCTAAGGTCCAAAGGCAGTAAAAGGACAAAAAGAGATTTAATATACAAAAATTTTCCTGAATCAGAGCATTTTGAGGTAACCAGCAAGCTCTTAGAGACTTTTCTACTCTCTGACAAATTGGAACCCATGAGCACCACACATTTAGGCTGCTTCCTGCTCAGACACTTTTTAAAACGATGTTCTGAAGATGTAATTCATCAACATGCCTCTGGAGTACAGAAGAAAGGGAACCTCCTCTCCCATCCCCACCCTTCAACCATCCTATTGGCCTTCTCTAAAGACAATCTGTGTGTCCGTGAGTATGTGTGCATGTCCTTCCCAAGGAATTCGACATACCTATGCAGACATCAGTAAATGGATGTTTATAAAGCTGGATGGTTTCATTACAAGAGTAACTTTGTGCAAGTGATGGAAAGTTAACTATACAGCCAAAAAGAAAGGATAATAGGGTCTCAAAACTTTTCTTTTTAAAAAAAATCATAAGAGCCTTAGAAGTGTTAAGTCCTTTTATAATACATACTGTAATTTAAGCTATTAATAAAATTAAAATACCAATTCTGAAATTTGGCTTTTGTACTCTTTTGAAAATCACTTTCTGGGGTTTTATTTATTCATCCAGGACATTAATAGACAACACCAGTCTACGCTGATTCACTGTGTTTCTAGAAGTTTCGAATGAGATTCCAAATATACACAGGAACTCCAAAAAGCCAAAAATACAAAGCATCGCAGTACATAGAGATCATAGTCTTTACCTCTGGAGTTTCATTCAAGAGAGTTCGCAAGTCCTTGAAATTGCTGTCTGCCAGTTTCCGACTCCTTTTGATCCGGGTTCGTACCTGGTGATTTGCCACAAAACCACAGAAGATGCCAATGCTGCAGGAAAAGGCAGAGAAAAGGAAGAGCATTTACTGCATGGTCCATGGTTCTTTGTCCAGGTCCAGGCAGCAGAGCAGGAATCAGGGAGGAGCCCGCAGAAGGACTGGCCTTTCCTCTCCAGCTGCTCTCTCCTGCCACAGCCTTCCCACCGCCATCCCACAGTGAAACCACCACACACGTAGGGGCTACAAAACAGGACTCAGTTCTCTCAGAGGAGGCAAATCTCCATTCTGTTCAAAATGACTCTCATCAATGGAACAATGTTCACAACAAATTGTGGAGGAAATAGGTGGAAAAAGGTTATAAGGCAGCTTGCATGATCCAGTCCCATTCCTGTCCTCATGTGAATGTGTGTACACACCCTCCTGTGTGAACATATGCATGCATGTGAACACACACACACACACACACACTTCTGCTTCCTGACCCCCCAAAAAAGACTATAGAAAAAAACATCAAAATGACAAGAGTACTTGGAGCTTCTAAGGTTTTTGGTTTCTCTAATTTTCTGTTAGTGTCTGTATTGTCCAGGTTGGAAAGAAACATGAGTTACCTTAGCATTAAAATGCTATGTGAGAAACCGCATGCGACGGAGCACCTATGTATTATTTCATCTACGGAAAATGCAAAACAAGTGAAACGGTGGTGCTAGAAGTCAGTGGTTATGCCCAGTGCAGGGGTGGAATGGCAGAGTACCCTGTTCATGGGTGGATTCACTTCATGGACACTTATGCATATGTACTTGTGAAAAGGACACTTTCCTCCATGTGAAATATACTTCAAAAAAAGCTTCAAAAACGCCCTATGAAAGGCATCTTGCAGGAAAGTCTTCTCTATGTGAAAAAAACCAAAACGTCTTTTTTCAAGCCATCTAAAATGTCTAATGCAATAATTTTTAAGGGCTCTTACTGTTGACTAGTTACTAATAATCCTTTGATTTAAAATAATTTGACCAATTGGCCTGTTTTTGTGGCAAAGCCTTTGAATAAATAGTTAAATTAGAAGGTGCTAATTGCCAAGGTTCTGTTGAATCTGGCCACTAGATGGCAGTAAGGAATTACAGAAACATAGGTGAATTATTTTTACCTGCAGAAGCAAGTAACAAACTTGTTAGTTTGTAATCATCCAATGGAAGATGTAGACATGGTTTTAGAAGTAAGTTTTGAAAATAATAGGCAAACTTGAAAAACATATCAGATGGAGAAAATCGATACATTGCCTCTTCAGCAAAAGCAATGTCTTGAGGCTTTATTTGCGCGTATAATTACGGGTAGAATGACTAAACATCTCATTTTTGGCACCTAAAATCCCATGTCCCCAGGAAACTTCTGCATCCTGGGTAAATGGGGACAGTTATTCACCCCACTTATAGTATAAATACATTCCAAGGAGCATTGTTTCATTACTGGTTTCAAAACATACTTTTCCGGCCGGGCGCGGTGGCTCAAGCCTGTAATCCCAGCACTTTGGGAGGCCGAGACGGGCGGGTCACGAGGTCAGGAGATCGAGACCATCCTGGCGAACACGGTGAAACCCCGTCTCTACTGAAAATACGAAAAACTAGCCGGACGAGGTGGCGGGCGCCTGTAGTCCCAGCTACTCGGGAGGCTGAGGCAGGAGACTGGCGTAAACCCGGGAGGCGGAGCTTGCAGTGAGCTGCGATCCGGTCACTGCACTGCAGCCTGGGCGACAGAGCGAGACTCCGTCTCAAAAAAAACACAACAAAAAAACATACTTTTCCATAGCAGTATAACATATGTCCATTAGGTTTCCCACAGTGCTCCAAAAAAGTCTATATAATACAACGTTGAGGAATGGTTCTTATGGTTAACAAGTTGCAGTGTAGTGAGTACTAGATTAGGGACACCAGATTTGGGTTCTGGGTCCTGTCCTGCCACCACCGTACTGTACAAGCCAGAGAAAATAACTTTCTTTCTGTGGACTTCAGCTGGTACCTCCAAACTGAAAAGGTCAGTTTAGATCTTTAGGTGTAATTAGATAAATTAGATCCAATCTAACTCAGATTAGATAAGTGCTTCTCAAGCTGTAAAGGAGATCAGTACTGGATGTACACGTTCTCTAAGATTTTTAAGTTTGGATTAATTCCGATGGTAAACTTATAAAATAAATGTTAACAATATTCTGTCCCATTTGGAATGACTGCCTTATAATTTGTCCTAAATTTGCATTGGTATTTTAGGAGCCGACGCACCATAGCAATAAGAGTCATTAACTCAGGCACTCATGCCAAAAGAGGTCAAACGACTCAAAATAATGATTTTGGAGTTTTGTGAAGAAGAAACACACACACACACACACACACACACACACGCACACACAAAAGCTGAGTCATAGCAATGCACCTGGAGCTTGCTACCATGCCAAATTCACAACATTCTAGACCATGACGAGTCAGGATCACCATCTGAACATACCTGAGGTTCACAATGGGGATCCTTGCTCTCTCTTCCCAGCATGTCCAAATTATTTTATTCACTCATCAGATTCCAGATATAAGAAGTCAAAGTGAACTTGGTAAAAAGAACCAGTCCAAGTCCACTTTCGCTTGACCCACACTGACCCCTCCACTCATCCCCAGAAGGGAGAAGAACCTCCTTGAACTCCCAGAGGCTCTCCCTTTAATTCTGATGGGGTATGTCTCACTTCACACTCTAATTTGTCTTTATTCTTATCTATGTTTAATTTTCCTAAAAAGAGGTGGAAACTAATTCTTTGTTAACTTTGTATAATGCAGTCTTGTCCACACTGGGTGCTCCATGAAGGTGAGTTTAGGGGTCGAACTTTGGTTTCATTTGGTCTATTTAGAAGACTGGCCATATGTCTGAAGTGTGAGTCAGAAACTGTCTTTGTGCCTTTATTGAATAACTGTCCTTACTCACAAGATCATCAGTCAATGAAACGAATTGCAATACTACATTTCAATACAACACTGGATTTCAATGCTACGTATTTTAGACCTACATTTCTACTAATCAATAATAGATCTAATTAAAATTAAAGCACTGAGAATTTTTGTAAAAAGCCATACTAAGCTGGGTGTGGTGGCACATGCCTGTAGCCCTAGCTACTTGGGACACTGAGATGGGATAATCACTTGAGCCCAGGAGTTCCAAGTCCAGCATGGGCAATATGGCAAGACCCCATTAATAAAGAGAAAGAGAAAAAAAAAACTGTACTAAGCATAATTATAGAGTAGAAGTTAGTGATTTTCAAGGCTGATTTTCAAACTAATGCACAAAGTAAATTTTGTATTTAAGTTCTAATGCCTATGTAAGCAGGCAGAAAGCATTAAGGAAAAATTGGGTAGCATGGGGTCCTGGAAGCTGGGAGATCAAAAATGGGCTGGAAGAGCAGCTAATCTGTAGGTGTCAAAAGCACCACCATGATGGCAGATAAATATTACCATATCTTCCCATTTTCCACAAAAATCTGAGAATCTGGGTTCTGATGTGAGATCTCCCAATTTTTAAATATTAGCAACTAACAAAAAAATTTTAAATACTATGCAGACCAACTGATGGTCTCCATTTGCAATCTCAAATTTAAACCTTCTGTTCAAACACAAATAGAGAATAAAGAAATTATGCTTTGAGGTATTGATTTAGACACTCCCTGTTGTTCAATGTATTTTTTGAGCAAAAAAAGGTATGTGAATAAATATTTTTATTTGAACAATCAGCAGTCGATTATTAGAATATAAGGATGCTAAGAGACATTTACCTAACACAAAAAGGAAATAATATTTCAGTGAATATCAGTTCTCTGGCATTTGACATAAATGCCTTTAAACAACCAAAAACATATGCTTTTAAGCAGTACAATAAAATCTCTTGGAATTTTTAGCAGAAGATAGGAATTTTTATTTTTATAGCCTTACATCTTCTATATTTTATTATGGAAAAACTAATTTTCTCACATATATACTTACAAGTAAATAAGCTTTTTATAGAGTAAGGCTAAACCTTACTTTTAAACCTTTACTTTGAAACTTGTAACTTCATTGTTCCTACCAATTTCTACTGATTTAATAAAAATTAGCCAAAGAAAGCCAAATAAATGCTTTCAGTCTATAACTGATCTCTTATTTAAAAAAAAAATTACATTTAAACTGTAAGTAACCACAGGTCATTCACATGAAGAAAGTTTCACGATTTTCAGGACTGCTATATCTAGCTCAATCTCTTTTCTACAACCTTGTAGCCTCCCAGTCAGGAACTGGCAATCACATCCCAGTATAAAATGAACTTTGAAAACAGCCAGCTTCCTGAAAATGACTGGAATTCAATTCACCATGGGAATTCTTAGCAAAGTTGGCTTATCATACTCAGAAACTTAAAAACATACAGAGGAAGTCAAGCCATGGTTGTTTTTTTTCTTCCATAACCTTTATGAGAAATGCAGTGGTGACAAGCAAAGAGACAGAAAGGAGAAGAAACTTGGCTCTTTCTGGAGTAAGACACATCTGCTTAACAGTCTACAGTGAGAGGTGGAAATTCGATCTTGTGCTGATGGTCAAACAGACTGCATAAACATATGTCAGTGTCTACGGAATTCTCACATTCCACAGCTGCCTCTGGGAACACTCAGAGAAAGAACATGCCCACGTAGATCGCACATCTGCTAGGGAATCTTTCTCCTTAACACCTATGTCTTCCCTTCACCCCCTAAAGAAAAGATTTACATTTTTTAAAATAAAAAAGGATGCTCAAAACTAACTTGAAAACCAACTGCGTTTAATTGTAACATTTTGAGCCAAAAAATGACAGAGTCCAATAAAAGGCAGGTGGACTGCTCTGGGTTTCTGAAAGAATTTTTTTAAAATCATATGCAAAGATTATTTCTCAGTAGTGTCCAATCTCCACTGAAGTCAATGTCAGCTATAGGCCCTGCATTAAACAAGAGAGCGTCCACTCTCCTATCTTTTCCTCCACTTCCTTTCTTCCCCCCCCTTTTTTTTAATTATACTTTAAGTTCTAGGGTACACAATTGAACTTTCTTTCCCTTTCTGCCTTCCAATTTTGTTGACATTCTTTTCCTTCTTATTTTTATCTAATCTTCTGATTTTGTTGACATTCTTTCTTCTCCTGTCTAGCTGCTCATAATGTAGAAATCTTAATTTTCCCCAGGTCTTTAATCCTCCTGGCTAGCTTGGATTACTTGCAAACAATATGTAGGTATTATGCAACTCATGTTTAAGGTATTTGCAAACCAGTGGGGGTTTCAAAAGGAAGCCATCAAAATAGTTACCGTAAATCAAAAAGTTCAAGGCAAAGAAGCTTAAATTCTCATCAGAATTTAAAGTGAGAAAAAAAATTCACATACTACTCTCATTTAAGCCTATTTATAATTTATATATAAATTCAATGTGCTACGTGAAATCAAATTAGTTTTAGTTTTGTCACAATCTCAAACAGTTGATCAATTTTGGTTTAATTATATTGAAATCTGAAATTACAATTTTCACATTAATGTTTTACTTGGGTGGGAAAAAATGGTTTTAACTGAGTGTGTAGGAGGGTATAGAATCACAGCATGCATTTTTTTAAAAGAATTTTCTAAATTAAAATATACGTAGAAAAAAACATATATTGATTTGATAGGTCTGAATTCTGAAGAATTAACAAAATGGTAGCTTTCATTTTATACATAAATGGAAGCCAAGTTTATTTTTTACTTTGTAGCTTTACTGTTGATATATTTTGGCATTTTCAACATAATGTAAATAACTAAGTCAGCTGAGAGTGAACTATAACATGCATAACACATAATTGTATGTAATACAAATGAAAGTTCAATTTTAAAAAAGAAACCCAATGTAGCGGCTAGGCGCGGTGGCTCATGCCTATAATCTTAGCACTTTGGGAGGTCTTGGCAGGCAGATCACTTGAGGCCAGGAGTTTGAGACCAGCCTGGCCAACATGGTGAAACCCCGTCTCTACTGAAAATACAAAAATTTGCCAGGCTTGGTGGTGCATGCTTGTAAAATCCTGGCTACTCAGAAGGCTGAGGCACAAGAATCACTTGAACCCAGGAGGCAGAGGTTGGAGTGAGCCGTGATAGCGCCACTGCACTCCAGCTTGGATGACGCAGCGAGACTCTGTCTCAAAAAAGGAAAGAAACTCAAAATATTGGAAACCCATTATTACACATGTAAACATTTAATTCAGGTAAATAAATAACTACATTCAATCAAGAATTTTCCTGAAATTATGGCTATGTACTGACATCAAGTGAAAATTATTAACTTGTTAAGTAAGTAATCACTCTAACAAGAAGCCCGAAGGGCAATATTTTCAGATGACGCTTTCACATCTGAATCTCATCTCTGAGGTCCAGGGTGTATGGAGTGGGTAAACATCGCTGTGCAAGTATCCAGACAAACGCGGCATGTAAGTTTCAGGCTTAGGGGAAACACACAGGGATCCCTGGTGGGTTTGACAGGTTTCAGGGCTGTAACTGAGATTCTTCTGGTAGCTGAAAAGGAGGTAACTACCCCAACAACTAGGAGTCTGTGCATTCCTTAGAGTATATCAAATATAAAGGAGAGACAGACAGGCACATCTGCAATGATCGCTACTGACCTGATCCCAAACTGCCTCTCAAGATCAAATATGAAAAAAACTGTAAGGATCAAATGATTTTTGGAGACACAGAGAAGGAGACAGACAGTGACAGAAAAATACAGAGAGGCAAGGAGAGACAGAAAATAGAAAAGAGAAGAAAAGAAAGAGAGAGAGAGAGAGAGAGAGAGAGAGAGAAAGAGATTGACAGACAGAGATGCCCACACCCCAACGTCATGGAGAAAAAACAAGTAACTCTCAGGCTAACCAACAGTGCATGAAGTCAGCTAACACATTCACTTGGATCCTGTTTACACACATATATATAGTTAAGGTCGGTCAATTATTCCACTATTATCAGCAAAAGTATGTCTTTGCTTAAATAATCACTGCCCTGGAGTAAGTGGTAATGCATTGGCCTTTGTCTGTTGTGAATATTTTTTTTTGTCATTGTTCAAGTTTTAGTTAAGTTAATTCAATAGGTAATACCTGAGCCTGGTACATAATCAAAAGAGACAAAAACCCAGCTACAGCAAGAAATGACTTTCCTTCCTTCCCCTCCACAACCCTCAATTTCCTTCCCAGAGGCAACCACTGTTGCCAGTTGCTTGTCAACCGTTTCACATCCCATCCACTCTGTACAAATATGACCAAGTGCTTGTGTCTCCTTCCTCATCTTTTTTTTCTTTTCCTTTTTTTTTTAACATAGTTACCATGTTCTACACATGGTCTGCAACCTGTTTTTTTCACTTCATCTGTCATGGTGACTGTTTGGTATCAAGAAATCCGGAGCTGCCCAGTCCTCTCCAATGGGTACACTGCATTTCGATGAGTGGCCACCCTAAGCCACACATCTTATCAGACCCCTGCTGGTGGCCGCACTTAAAGACTTTCCTTCTTGGGTTTGCAGCTGGAACTCCAACTCATAGGACTGACTGTTTTCAGCTAAAATTCCTGAATATTACTTCCTTAGTAAAACTTGAAAAAAATCTTACGGCTACTGAGCACATGTGGTGTTTGGAGAAATGACAAAGAGAAGGCTGTTGGCCAACCCTTGCTGTGCCTTCATGTCATAGGCACATTTATTTTTGTTGCTTCATGAAACAGTGGTGGAATGAATGAGGAAACGTGGAACAATAACCAAGAATGTGTTGTGGTGCACATTCTTCAGATGAGCAGTCTAATTTGGACTCGAAAAAACGTCATCTTAAAAGCAATGTATTTCTGATCTGCCAGTCAACTGAAAAACTTTCGAAAGCAGCAGAAGCTGCAGCAGAAACACCCTAAATCATGAAGTGTGTTCCAGACTTCAAGAGAGGGTAGCGGATGAACAGCACATATAAGAAAAATGGGTTTATTATTAGAAAGTCAATTGCATTCTACAATATTCTCAAATTTCCAAATTCAGGGACTGCATCTGTCCATCACGATTCCTTTGGACTCAACTAGCAAATCAACTTGCAGATCCATCTCGCCTTTCTACATGCTGCCTGTCTGCAAAGAGCTAATTAAGAGGAGTCTGCTGTGCTGGAAAGTAAATCCTTTCTGCAGTCCAAGATTTCTCAGGATACCTTCAAAAGGAAAAAAATACCAAAACGCTGGCTCATCAGCTCAGTTGGGGCAGCTTCATTACAACGCTAATGTCTGGTGCTAATGAGATCCTTTCGAATCACTCTAGACAAGCACTTGTGCTCTCCTTTTTCTGTTTTGTGGGATTTTTTTCCATTGTTGCTATTTTGTTTAGTTTTAAACTCATGGTTTAACCATTAAAATATGAGACACTCTTCATCAGCCTAAAACACAATCAGTTGTTGTCCAAGATTCTACTTGCCTTATTATTATACAAATCACCAAGAGGGAGATTGCAAAGCACTTCCTCAGGAAGAGTCCGTTTTCCTTCTGTCGCTGGTGCAGTTCTCCACCACATTTGTTACAGCAACGACACATACAAAAGAAATACCCCACCAGAGGCATCAGAATAATAAACAGCAGTCCCAGGACAGAGCATAGAATAATCCCTGCTTCATAGTAGATAATCTGCAATTCAAACAGAAGAAACAGCACATATTGTAACACGAAATAATACGTAGAACATTCCACGGTGTACAAAGGTCTTTTTTTTTTTTTTGAGACAGGGTCTCACTCTGTTGCCCAGGCTGGAGTGCAGTGGTGTGATCTCAGCTCACTGCAACCTCTCTGCCTCCTGGGTTCAAGCGATTCTCAGGCCTCAGCCTCCCAAGTACCGTATTTTTAGTAGAGACAGGGTTTCACCATGTTGTCCAGGCTGATCTTGAACTCCTGTCCTCAAGCAATCCACCTGCCTCGGCCTCCCAAAGTGCTGGGATTACAGGTGTAAGCCACCGCGCCTGACCATGTTTTGCTTTTTTAATGTATCTGCCATCATTAGTTGAATCTGAATATATATATATATATTTCATTTTGAAGCTCCTTTTTGAAACAGAGGAAGCAGAAAATTGAGTTATCGAATATAGGGCCAAGTGGTTACTGGAAGATGTCCTTCAACCCCTAGGAAGATAACTAAATGCTAGTTTGAGCTGCAAACGGTTTAATTTTAACCCCAAAGGTATTTTGTTTGTTTTTAAATGGATCAATAAATCTTGGCAGGAGTACTTGCATAACAAATAATCTACACATAAGGTGCTTTACACCAGGAAAACTGCACAAATAGAAGTGAAAGACTCAAAGCACTTTGGATTGGCCGGCAAACAGTTACACAAGAATCTGGAATGTATCTTAATTTAGAAAAAAAGGCTCAGACTCTAAGTCAGGCACATTAAACACAGGCCAGTCAGTGAGTTTCTCCACTAACACACTGGAAATAATAATACGTACCTTGTCAAGTCATTGTGAAAATTAGAGATAATGCATGATTAGAAATAATGTGACAAAGGACCAGGTACTGAGTAGACATGTAAGGTGCTTCTCATGCCATGCCCAGCAGTCAGATCCACAGTGAAGGACCGACCTCGGCAGTCTGTGTCTCAGACAGTTCCTGAGTTCCTAGGAACAGCACAATTTCCAGATACAATCATGTGACCTAAACCTCTTTTCATAATCACTGCTGACTTTATTCTGGGATAAACGAAAATTAATGCAACTAGATGATGAAACTTGATATCATTCCAATTCATGCATGTAGCTGCTTACATTTCTAAAGAATGGCAGAAAATTGCAAGTTGGCAGTTTGCAACTAAATGGACAATCTAGACAGCTGCGAATTCCTAAGCCAAGCTGAGCAAAGGAAAATAAAACACAACGTCTTGCTCCTGGGAGCAAATGTGATGTCTTGGAGGAGCGACCTACCTGCTTTACATCCCAGCGGGGGCTTCCAGGTCCCTAAACTGGATGGTATCACATTAGCATTAACCTCATAAACATATTGTGAGGGACAAATAACTGAACGACTGCATGTGAAAACAACTAGCCAAGTGCCCAGCACACAGTAGATATTCAACAAACGGTAGTTAACGCTATGAGCAAATGCTCAAGACTAGTAAATCTGGTGCATCTGGCGCTTGAATATTACCTACTTCCATATTAAGATTAAATTGCTAAAAAAAAAAAAAAAAAAGTGGCTGGATTTTGCTGCGTTCATCAAGTACGGGCTCACGCTTAAGTTAACCCCCATCCCGTGTCCACGAAGAGGCATTATTAGCTGACTTAACCCTTCCTGGAGGACCAATATCACTTGCCAGTTAAGAAACCAGCCCAGACCTTCCAAACTCTTACTTACGTATTTTTCCATCATTTCTCAGCAAATATTCTAAATTGTTTATTTTAAAGAATTTATTTTAAAGAAACGTAAATGCTTTCTGAATTCCAGGAGACACTGAACCCAAACCCAGGAGACAAGATATATTGAAATGTTTTAGCTTTAAATACAATTTGCACTAATTTTAGCTTTAAATACAAATTGTACATTTGATACACAGCCTTTCTAGTGTTACTGACTAAACATCAGGCAGTATCAGGAACAAGACAGGGTATTTCAAGAGTTCACATCTAGGCTGACTAGATGAAGGCCTGTCACTATTTACACTGTTTTTTGATACACCAAGATCTTCCAGTGCTTTGTTGATTATGTTGAAGATCAACATCTAAATATTACAGAGATATCTTGCTTAAAAGAGAAGGTTAAAAGTGATGGTAAAAACATAAATGAAATGGATCATTTAAACATTTTCACAGTGAGGATGACGGTGAAGAACAGAAAGGCTTTCAAAGAGCAACTTGAAATAGCAGACAAGGACTTTACCTTTAGACCTAAGATTAGAGTTTCTGGCTGTAGAAGTCAACGCAGGTGAGGAATTTTGGCAGAGGCAGCATGCATCAAGAAAACAGACAGAAAAAGTTATGAGTGATCAACCATAACCAAGAACGCTCATATCCCACAAGGAGGAAATCGGGTGATAGAAGGATAAGTACGAGAAAGGAATATAAAACTTGAGTGTGAATTCAAGAAACAGTGGTTTAAGTTACTTTGAGTTCTGAAATTCACATTTGCATTTACATTTGGATTTCCCAAAAGGTTCTTAATCTGTATGCTAATCGGTTATGAAAAGGAGAATTAGAGGGGAAGTTATAAATGCTTAACACACTAACCATGTGATCTTCATAAAATAGAGAATCAGATCTGAGAACTCCATAACCAATGGCAGCATCTTCCCAAGTGCCCTTTTCTAAAATAAAAATCTGATGGTGCTATTCCTGTGCTTAAAGCGATCAACGGATTCCCACCATTTTTATTCCAAACATCTCAATGTTTGATTTTAAATGTCCTTTTGTGGCCAAATAAAATTAGGTGGTTCTATGTCATTTTCTAGATCACTTTTTTGAAATATTCTGGTCCAGGAAATCTAAAGGTTTAGAAACTATTGCCTCAGCTGGCAGATCTGAGGGAACAACATTTGTGATGGGAATCACTTTTAAATGAGGTACCCAAAACACGGGGACTGGGGGGCAGTTCAGCTATAGCTGCCTCTGGGGTCACACGGGGCATTTTAAATGATCCCAGGCTCCCTTTCTTGGGGAGGGGACACGCAGGCTTGTTACCAACCAGGGCACAAGCTCCCAAGCTCACCAGACATAAAGATGCACCTCACAGTGTGTGTTAAAGAAAAACACTGACTCCTGGGCTCCTCTGCTAGAGCACATGAGTCAGAAGATATGGGTAAGACCAGGAATCTGTGTTCCCTGAGGCTTCCAAACAAATGACTTGCCGCGGAGTCATCGGCTTAGGGTCTGCTTCAGGGGGAACCAAACCAACACGCCCAGCCTTTATCAGACTAAATCTAGTCAGAAAACCTTCCTCCAGATGTGGCCTGGCTCCTTTGGTGCCTGTGCTTCACTAAACCCCTTTCTTTGGATAATGGTAGAAAGCGTGGTCCAGTTCCACATCCAGAGTAGGATTCAGCTCATTCATGTGGGTTCAGTTCTGCATCTTCTCTCCACTGCACCCTCACCCAGAGTTTTTATTCATTTGCAAAGGCAAGGAAAGAGAACGGGAGCCAGGTGTATAAACCAAGGTTATGGGAGTGCCAAATCTAATACCAAGTCAAGCACAAAGACACTGCCAGGGTCAGTGGCAGCCCAGCTCCAGCTCAGGCTCGCAGGTTCCTCAAGGCCAACTAAGGGTCTCAAGACCTTGTCCTCCAAGTCCCAGATCCCACTGAAGCACTGCCCCTACTCCATTCCTTGGTTGGCATTCAGGCTGGCTAAGCATATTATGCTAATTTTGAATATAAATATAAAAGCAACAGTCATTTTCTTCCCCCTAAAGATGCAGGCCGACGTGGCAATCACGTTTGGGAGATATAAATGAAGCCTGTGGCACTGAGGAATGAAAATGCTTTCCACAGTGCTGGGGAAGGCTGAGAGCCCTGGGAACAGCTCAGTTTATCTTCCACACAGTCTTCCCTTGCTGAATGGAAACAGCCTCTGGATAAGGCTTTGCTCTTCAGCTTCTGCATTTACTTTTCTCTTGAGTATAATTTTCTTGCAAATTAAAAATATGATGAGGCCATTTGTAACTACCGTATCTGAGGTAATGATTCACTGGGCAAGAGGGAACTGCCCTCCCCCGTGCCGGAAACACTAGCGTTCAGATTTATTGTGCAGGCCAGTAAAAAACGTCCACCTATACATCTGCTTATGGTTAGCCTGATAACCACCTTCAAACCAGGAAAGGAAGGAACAAAGTGCTTTACTTACTGAGAAGGACTGAGAACCTGGCAAACACATTTAACTATTTTTTATTGTCTAATATTCAGTGCTACACACTTTTGTCTGTTTGCTTCATGGGCAACCTACACTCATAACACACCAGAATCAAGACCACTTGTGTGTTTAGGTAGGCAGTTGCAGAGGAGTGCACTGGCAGCACCTGGGGTAATAAGCAGAAAAATGCAAGGAGCCTTGATACTTTCTGAAAATACTATGGACTCACTCCAGGGAGATGTTCAAGGTCCTCCCAGGATCAGGTCCCATCTTACCTTTTTTTCTCTCCCTCTTGCCAGGGGCCTGCTTCTTTCATACCTTGACCTCTTTGCTCACATGGTTCCTGAAGCCTGGAATGTGAGCAGAGCGACCACCCATCCCCCCGGCTCTGCCCTTGCATGATCCTCGTTACATTAACTAGATAAGGTCCCTGCTATCTGTCTTCTAGCCTCTTGAGACCGAAGGCTATCATCCTTATCTCCACCTTCCTTCAATTCTAGCCATGTACTCACACAGTAAGAGATTCATAAACCTTGTACAAATGCAAAGCTACTTTTCAACAAACGATGTTTTATAACAGAGTACATTGTCACCATCTCTAGGAATTTTCAAACAATTCTACTTAACGAGGGAGTTCTCATCCCTCAGCTAAAAGAAAAGTAGTGTAATATTGCTTTTTGAAGAAATTTTACTTTTTGTTTACTTTATTTATTTATTTATTTTTTGAGACGGAGTCTCACTCTGTCACCCAGGCTGGAGTACAATGGCACCATCTCGGCTCACTGCAACCTCTGCCTCCCGGGTTCAAGCAATTCTCCTGCCTCAGCTCCCCGAGTACCTGGGACTACAGGCGAGTGCCACCATGCCCGGCTAATTTTTGCATTTTTAGTAGAGACAGAGTTTCACCATATTGGCCAGGCTGGTCTCAAACTCCTGACCTCGTGATCTGCCCCCCTCAGCCTACCAAAGTGCTGGGATTACAGGCATGAGCCACTGCGCCCGGCCGTAGTTTTTAATTTTTAGATAACATACAACTTGAAAGACTTTCTTCAAATGCTACTTTTGAAATTTCTGCTATGGTTCAAATGGGATTTGTAAGGTGGTTCAATATTCCATGAAAGTTCTTAGTCAAAAAAGGTTACTAAAATTGCAGATTGAATAACTGGTTGTTTAAAGATTTACTTTCAAGTCAGCCAAAATTTTTCTCATACTTCATATTTTTAATAATAAATACACCAATGAAAAATTACCTTATCATAATCAATTTTGGACTCACGTGCCTTCTGTATGACTTTTCTCAAAGTATCTGGAAAAAAAGCCACAAAATAGCAAAATTATTTTTTCAGTAAAAATATAAAATGCGTATTTGGAAAAAGATCTTTATATGCTTACAAATTATTATAACTATATTTCTATTATTCTTATAATTTTATTCCTATTTCTTAATGTAGTTAAATAATTAATGACGCTAGCCAGAAGACAAGAATAGAAGACAAATACTTCTGATTTATTATTTTGTCAGGGACAGAATTAGAGAGTTGTCATTTTTAAGCTAGTAATTTATCATAATACACTTTAATATTTACCAGCAAACCACATACAGCTTATTAATAATCATTTATAAAAATTATGCTGAAATTGCTGTAATTCTTAATTATCTGGAAACACAAATGAAATTTATTTTTCAATAATTCCACATTTGCCTGATATTAATATTTTACAAAGGAATGGATGAAAGGAATCTTAAAATTAACCCAACTTGGCAGGGTGCTGCAGCTCACACCTGTAATCCCACCACTTTGGGACTCAGAGGCAGGCGGATCACCTGAGGTCAGGAGTTCCAAACCAGCCCGGTCAACATGGTGAAACTCCATCTCTACTAAAAATACAAAAATTAGCCACGTGTGGTGGTGCATGCCTGTAATCCCAGCTACTTGGGAGGCTGAGGCGGGAGGATCACTTGAACCCAGGAGGTGGAGGTTGCAGTGAGCCGAAATTACGCCACCGCACTCCAGACTCCATCTAAAAAAATAAAATAAAATAACCCAACTCAAGAGTTCTTAACATGGGAAATCCTTCTCTTCCTGTCTCCAAGCAGTGCACAAAAAACTATGCAATGCAAACTTGAACTTTTCCATAAATATTCATTTAGAGCATTTTCAAATTCTCACATAGGCCTGGGACCAAAAAACGGTTAAAAGCCACCACTTAACCCTGTGCCGCCATCTAAGAATGATATGAGACAACTGAGACACGGACAGAGAGGGTGACATAGTGATTCGTGAGGAGGCCAGACCAAGGCCCAGGTCTTCCTCCTCCTGTGCGGGTGCCTTCCCGCCACCCTGTACGCTGTCTCTCACCCCAGGAAGGAGCTTCTGCATTACTATCACTATATCCATCACACCTGAAATGTACTACTGGAGGGGCGCAAACGAAAACCCTATCGACTCCTTTTATGATGCGAAAGTTCAGATTAACATACAGGAAAACAAAGCAAGCCACTTTCCCAAAAGGCTTTCTGCAAAACAACTTTTCTCCTCTACAACTCAGAGATATGGGTGATATTTAAAGATTATGCTACAGGAACAGAGATTTTCAAACTGATATGCACCCAGGGAACCCCAATAGTTTCTTCACAGTACCTTGGGGGCTGCTCAAGGACCAGAGGGACACTGAGGCTGTCTAATCCCCTTCAGACAATACAGGTTACCTCCCCTTCAACCAGTCAGCATTGCTTTGGTCTGTTTTACAGATCAGGCTTCTGTTTAAAATTTCACTGAATGAAAGAGTCATGTGTCTGTTGGCTGCATAAATGTCTTCTTTTGAGAAGTGTCTGTTCATATCCTTTGCCCACTTTTTGATGGGGTTTTTTTTTCTTGTAAATTTGTTTGAGTTCTTTGTAGATTCTGGGGCTGTAAACTAGTTCAACCATTGTGGAAGACAGTGTGGCGATTCCTCAGGGATCTAGAGCTAGAAATATCATTTGACCCAGCCATCCCATTACTGGGTATATACCCAAAGGATCATAAATCATGCTGCTGTAAAGACACGTGCATACGTATGTTTATTGCGTCACTATTCACAAGAGCAAAGACTTGGAACCAACCCAAATATCCAACAATGACAGACTGGATTAAAAAAATGTGGCACATATACACCATGGAATACTATGCAACCATAAAAAAGGATGAGTTCATGTCCTTTGTAGGGACATAGATGAAGCTGGAAACCATCATTCTCAGCAAACTATTGCAAGAACAGAAAACCAAACACCACATGTTCTCACTCATAGGTGGGAATTGAACAATGAGAACACTTGGACACAGGGTGGGGAACATCACACACCGGGGCCTGTTTTGGGGAGGGGGGATAGGGGAGGGATAGCATTAGGAGATATACCTAATGTAAATGACTAGTTAATGGGTGCAGCACACCAACATGGCACATGTATACATATGTAACAAACCTGCACGTTGTGCACAAGTACCCTAGAACTTAAAGTATAATAAAAATAAATAAATAAATAAATAGTCTACTGTTGATTTAGAAACTGAGAAATCATCTATTTATTAAAATATATTTAGCTGCACAGCATAATATGTTGCATTTTGGGATCTTGACCTAGAAACGAGTTAGAAGCGAATCCAAGCTCCACCACTTAACTGAGTGTCTGTAGGTAAATAACTGCTACAGACATCCTCATCTGCAAAATAAGATGTCCCTACTCTCAAAGGACCACTAAGGGTGAAGTGAGAAAACATTTATAAATAAAACAGCACCGAGCCTGGCACATAGTGGGAACATGGTATATACCTGCTATTATTACATGAAGGAATTTAGAGAATGTAGGTTATAGAACAGTATCCATGGTAAGTGCAGTGTGGAAGACTGTTATTTTGGCCATTCAATATCCATTCACTTTTATTTTTTCCCTTACAAAACAAAGCAAACAAACAAAAACAAAATGAAAAACTTCGGATTTCTTTTGGGGAACTGCTCCTTCCATCCTCTCAGGCCACGTGGACTGGGGAAGCCGTGAGCCCAGCACCACAATGGTAGACCTTCACGGGTCTAAACCAGCAGGTCTCCAAACATGGGCTATGGGAATCCCCAAGATACGTTCAGGGTGTCCATGAGGTCAAAACACAAGATGTTAATTGCTTTTTTTGTTGTGTTGACATTTGCACTAGGGTGCAAAGGCAGTGGTAGGTAAGAATGCAGGTGATTTGGCACAAATCAAGATTGCAGCTAATACTCATTATATTCTTTCCCATTAGGCATTCATGTTCAATAGTCAGTTACACTTAAGAAGGGTCTTGATAAAGCATTAAAAATTATTTTTATTAAATTTCAACCTGTGAGTACAGCTCTTTTTATTATCCTGTGTAAAGAAATGGTAACTACACATAAAGCTCTTTCATGCACATCCAAGGATAATGTGCAAAAAGCATTTGTGCAAGTGTTTTAAGTTGTGAGCTCAACCAGTCATAGTTTTCATGGAACACCATCTTTACTTGGAAGAAAAGTTGATGGCCAGGCGCTGTGGCTCACACCTGTTGTCCTAGCACTGTGGGAGGCCAAGGACAAAGGATTGCTTGAGCCGAGGAGTTTGAGACCAGCCTGGGTAACTAGGTAACATAGTGAGACCCCACATTAGCCAAGTGTGGGGGCATGCACCTGTAGTGGGAGGCTGAGGTAGGAGGATCATTTGAGCCCAGGAGTTCAACTAAGCCACAGTTATGCCACTGCACTCCAGCTTGGGTGACTGAGCAAGACCCTGCTTCAAAAAAATAAAAAATAAATAAAACTAAATAAGAAAGACTGAGAGACAAATTGTGACTATTCAGACTTGGATATACCCAATCTCAGCCCTTAATCTGGTTCACTGCAGGCTTGAACTCCTGGGCTCAAGTTATCCTCCCCTCTCCCCTCAGCATAGCTAGACTAAAAGTGCACGCCACCATGCACAGATAATTTTTCTTTTTTATTTTTTGTAGAGATGAGGTCTCACTATGTTGCCCAGGCTAGTCTTAAACCCCTGGCCTCAAACGATCCTCTCACCTTGGCCTCCCAAAGCACTGGGGTTACAGGCATGAGCCACCGTGTCTGGCCAGCATTTTCTCTAAAATGAAAGAAGTGGAGTTTGCAAGTTTAAGAAGCCACTGACGGGATTTGTTGCCAATGATAAAATTAGAGCTTTCAAGCAAAAATTAGAATTTTGCAAAATGTGTATCCACCACCATGAGCTTGACAGCATTCCAGTACTTATGGCTTTCTAACGTGATCAGTAAGGATATTAAAGAATTTTTGATACTATAAAATGAAATATGCCCACATTTAGGAGATGTGCAAAACTCGGTGACTGAATATTTTCCAGATGATTCATGCATCATGTCACAAAATCCTGCATGGAAAAAGATCCATTCAAAGTGGAAGACAGGGAGGTGGGAGGAGGGCAGATGATAAAAAATTACTTCATAGGTAGAGTGTACGTTATTCAGGTGACGGACACTCTAAAAGCTCTGACTTCACGACAATGTGCTCTATCCACGTCACAAAATTACATTGGTACCCATAAATTTATACAAATTTAACTTTTTTTAAATAAATAAATACAGTGGAAGACAGACCAGTGGATGTTAATAGATCAAAATATAAAAAACTAATTCATATGGTTCCAGATTCCATATTGCAAATAACTTTTACAAACTAGCACTTGTACAGTTTTAGTGTGGTATTAAAGAAAAAATATGCACAATTATCTGAAGAGAATACTAAAATACGGCTCTGTTTTACAACTACGTATCTCAGTGAGAGCAGACCTTCACGCTATACATCAGTCGCGCTAACACCCAGTACTTCAACAGGACCAGCTCAGATACAGATATGAAAATCCAGCTGACTTGCACTAAGCCAGATGTTCAAGAGATCTGCAGAACTGCAAAAACTGATGCCACTCTTCTTATGATTTTTGCTTTTGGAAACCGTAGTTATTTTTAACAAAATTAAGTTATTTATGGAAAGGGTTTACTATCTTTCTTTTAAAATAAATTGACAAATATATGTTAAGGTGTTCTCCATTTTATCTTCAAATATGATCAATATTGATAAACAAAATCTCTTTGGGGCCCTGAATAATTTGTAAGAGTTAAAGGGGATCTGAGGCCCACAGTGTGTGAGTGAGACCTACAGTGTGTGAGTGAGACCTACAGTGTGTGAGTGAGACCTACAGTGTGTGAGTGAGACCCACAGTGTGTGAGTGAGACCTACAGTGTGTGAGTGAGACCTACAGCGTGTGAGTGAGAC